CTCACACATAACCTTTTATGCTCTTGGTGTAGCTCTGTTAAGTTTTCAACAACTGTATTACGTTCTCTAGCAATCTTACGAACTTTAGCTTCATGACTTTTAACTCTATCTTTTCACTAGTTTTTTTCTTTTTGAAGCTTCTAGATTTATTGCTTTAACTTACCCTTTTCAGACTCAAATTCTTTTGTTGCAAGTTCTAATTCTGATGGTGTCTTTTCAAGTTTTTCTTTTATTGGTGTTTGAAAACTTTCATAAGTGAATACTATTTTTTATCTTCGTTTTACTCTCCAAACCAAATATCCTGGAGTGACTTTATCAGTAAAAGGTTCATGACTCACTCTTCAGGAATTTTTCCATGCTTTAATCATCTCATTCATCCTCTGAAATACTTTTGGCTCACTGTAAGAGAAATCTAACTGATGAAGCTCATAAGTCATAGGAATGAATTGTTCTGCCCCAAATTACCTTCTCACTAAAAGTGATGCATAATTTGTCGCTCCCTAGTGGGACCATTGTGTTATCCCCATATTGATACAATATAAGTTCAGGATTCATCCATGGGGCCAACCATCTTACATTGGCACTGGTTAACTTTTGTAGGAAAGTTATCCATTCTTTTTTAGACTTTCGTTCTAATCACCCACTTTCACAGAATTTTTTGATCGAAGCTCAATTACGGACATAAAGCTTTGAAAAAGTACCTTTTTTTCATTCGAAATAACTTTTCATCAATAAGTATAATAACTATATGCAGCCTATAAAGTGCCCTCCATTCTGACGATAGTAACTCAAAGATCTGATAATCTCTGCTAATATTATCGTTGAAAGATTACAGCCATTGATCACACTCTCAAAGAAATCAACCACCGCTATTTCAATGTAACATAAAACCTTCGAGAATATCACCATTCCGTATATAACTAAGGCAAATATATCTAACCCCCTTTTTTTATCGGTATGTTGCACTAGAAACTCATGAAATAACTTTCAAGGTAGGTAAACTTGTTTTTGTTTCTTCTTTGTATGGAAATCCATAACTTCTTTGTCTATCCCTATGAGTTGAGCCAAAACCTTACGAAATCTTGACTTGTATTTCTTGACATATATCTTATTGGGAGCCTTGAGTTACAAACCTAACAAAGTCGAATATTCTTCGATGGTTGGAGTCATATCAACTTTATTAAAGATGAAACACTTGTATGTAGGATCCCAGAATTATGCTGCAGCCTTGATTAGTTGGTCATTGACAACTATTGCTAGAAAGTGTGCTATATGCCTGTGTTTTGACAAAACTGCTCTTGTCTTAATGGATTCATCTTCTTTCATATGTCAACCAAATCCTTTAGATTATTTTGTTTGAGAAGGATAGATATTTCTTGAGACAAGGTAGAATCATATCCGATTGGTAAATAATCTCTCATTTTTAGTTGAATCTTTTCTGACTCGATTCTTACTTTATTGGATGTCTCACAAGGTGCTAATACGGATGAAGAACAAACTAATCGTTCTGTGAAGTCATGAAAATTTTTTGTTGAAGACCGTTTTCCAAGCAAATGTTCTTTATGCAACTTTATGATATGAGCATGAACCAATGCAAAAGAATAAGAGAAAAGGTTAGATGCTTAGAAAAAAGAAATCAATAAATAACTAAGTAAATTAAAACATCACACAGAATAAGAGAAATGAATCCTATGCTTTTGGTCAATTCTAAAAGGGAAGAGTGATGGCTCTATCTATAGGTTAGGCACTCTTAAGGTTCACTATTTATGGATTTAAGGTTAAAGTCTAAAGGTTCCCAAATTACTCCTTACATCCTTGTCCATCACAGACTAGTAAGGCACCCTAATCCTCACCCATTATAGGCTACAAGCGAAAAAGATTCAATTTGAGTGAGAGTATTTCGCTAGCCACTGCAGAGGTATTAGACCTCACGAAAGCAATATGTATTTTACTCCCTCCTAGAGGGACAAAGCTCGGGTATAGAGCTCATGTTATGCATATGAATGACATAATTAATAAAGTAAATAAACATGAATGAATAAATAAAATATATACAAAAAGGTTCAATTTTATTAGGCTTTTGGATAACACAAATTTATTTACTGGACTGACTCTCAGTGGTGTCCCCAGCGGAGTCAGCAAGTTGTCATAACATCTAGATCCGGAGATCTATCGTTAGACATTGACTTAAAGAGTCGCCACCAATCTTTTTTATTTAGGTGCGATTGGTCATCTAAAAAATCCATCCTTTCAGGAAACATCTAAGTTTAAGGATCCCTAAAAGAATAGGTTCAGGTCTACTAACTAGAATAGGGTTCAGGAGTTCGATTACGTGTGAGAAAGGTTATAGCACCTTCACAACGCCCGTCGATAGATGGTACCAGCTTAATTTTGTGTTATCCAATAAGCCTTAAAAATTTACCAAGTAATTAATTATTAGAAATTATTCTTAATTGACTTTAATACTTTTAGCAAAAAATTGAAAAAATTTCCTCACTCAAAAGTATGCAAGAAAATTATTGTTTCACTTGCAGAGGCTCCATCGTCGGATTATTTAACATTAAAGAAAATTCAAGAAAAAAAAGAAAAAATGATTGCTTTTGTATAGAAAAAATTGATACTTTCAGCTTTTCCTCAAAAATATTTTTTAAAAACTTTAATTTTGAGAAAATTTGATACTTTCAACTTTTTCTCAAAAATCTATTTTTGAAAATTTATTTTTAAAGAAAATTGATACTTTCAACTTTTTTCCAAAAATATTTTTTAAAAACTTTAATTTCGAAGAAAATCGATACTTTCAACTTTTCCTCAAAAATCTATTTTTTGAAAAAATTTTTTAAGAAAAATTGATACTTTCAACTTTTCCTCAAAAATATTTTTCTTTTGAATTTTATTTAAAGAAAATAAATAAAAATTAAAAATGGAAATAAAAATAAAATAAAAAGTATTAAACAATTCTAATCTAATAAATAAATAATAATAATAACAATAATAATAAATAATAAATAATAAAAAAATGAAAAAAAAACCTGGGAACGGCTCGGCTTAGTGGCTCTGTTCGGCTCGGCTCGGCTTGAGGAAGAAAAAATGGCTCGAAGAAGCGGCTCGGGGCGTCGGCTCGACTAGGGAAACGACTTGGACACGCAGGTCGTACGCGGGTCAAAAGCAGGTTGGAGCTCGGGTCGGGTCGGATCTTGGTAAAACGCACGGATCTTGTGGGTTTACTAACGCAAAAATGATATCGTTTTGGGGAGGGTATATAAGGCTGAAGGTCAATTTTTTTCTCAGAATTTCCTTCTCCTCTTCTCTCTCTTTCCTTCTTTTACTCTCTCCTCTCTCTAAACCACGAAGAACTCCGGTTGAATTCTCATCGGATTCTAAAAATTTTCGTCGAAATCTGGGTTTTTTGTCAAAAGTTCATCGAAAAATTGATCGATTTCTGGAAATAGTAGTCGACAACTAGGAAGTTGATCGAAAAATTCAAACTTCGTCGAAAAATTAACCGGAATCTGAAAATTTTCTAAAATTTCAAGAAAAAAATTCGTACAAAAATTCTCCAAAAATTTTCACCGATTTCTAGAGTTGTTCTAATTCACCAAAACCCTTTTTAGCTTCTGTTTCTTCTCTGTGTACTCTCTCTAAGCCAATGTCTCTCTTTTTTATATTTTTCCTTTGATCTGTGGATTTATTTATAAGGATTGATCAGAAGAGTTTCTGATTAATCTCAACTCTTTTTGGATTGAAATTCAATCATTGAATCCAATATGGATTCTGATTGAATCCCAAATTCACGGTAGGATTCCCTAAATTCATTCCAATCTCAGTCGAAAAAGAAAATAAAATAAAAAAAATATTAATAGATAATTAAAAAAGAAATAATTAGATAAATGAAAATATTAACAGATAAATAAAAATAAATAATAGATCAATTATAATGTATAAATAGATAAATAATAATAAATACATATATATAATATATAAATAACTAAGTAATAATAAATACATATATATTGACATAAAAAAATAAATAAATAAATAAACAATAAATACATAAGATACAAAAAAATATAAATATAAATATAAAAAAATAAAATATAAATAAAATACAAAATAAAATAAATCTATCTATTTAAATCAGATTCAATTGATCGAACTTGAACCAAATTAAATGACTACATTAACAAAAAGTTATTAGTTTTGCCTTTAGTAACACTTAAACTTATCAACAACATTAAACTTGTACGTTAACAAAAAGTTATTAATTTTGCATCCAAACTTCAAAGTTATTAATGTTGTTTTGTTGCAACTTGTACGTTAACAAAAAGTTAATAATTTTGCATCCAAACTTCAAAGTTATAGAAGATTCAATCAAGTGATTCAAGTTATCCTGATCGGATTATCAATATATCTATATATTGATAGATTAATTACAACCTTAAATTGGTTTGTACATGAACTTTTGTCCATGGATGTAGCTCTCCTTTTTTAAATATTAAATGAAGAGTCGTGCTGATAATCAGATTAAGAGACACATAAGCATAAAAAAGAATTTACAATCTAAACAATGTCATGTCAGAATTGTAAATAAAAAGAACATTAATTAATAAAAAAATTACAGTAAAAGAATAACCACAAATTTTATTTGTACTGACGTGATTTTTCATTTTATATTAAAAAGGAAGTGGAGGCAAATCCTCTATCCATATCTAGTACTAGATGATGATAAGAGACGGTAAGAAAAATGAAGGAGCAAGACAAGATAAGAGTTGACAAAGTCTTCAAATTGTACTTATCTTCCATCCAAGAGTAGTGCCATACAAGCACCTGGTTTGATGAATCAAAAATCACATTTTTCTTAAGATGAAAAGATCAGATCAAATAACTAATTAGTAGTATATATCATTAACGTCGATATTCAATTTTATTTTCTTTAAAATTCTGACCTTTAAGTAATTAATCTTTGTGATGGAAACTACACTCTTTTTTATTTGATAAAGAAACTTAGAATTGTGCTATTCTGCTTATCATCTGAAGTAAGCATAGCCTACACGTTTTTTAAAGTTTCAGTTTGTGCAAGCAAATGTCAACGCCTTCACGAAAAGGCCATTAGCTTCGCCAGCTTGCGAGCGTTTAAAAGCGAACCTAATACCTAACCCTGACTACCATTCTCTCTCTCAGCTCCACCCAAAACAACATCAGAAAAAACTTGATCGAGATAGAAAAATAGAAAAGTGAAGAGAAAATTGAGAAAGGAAGAGGATCATGAGGCTGGATTGGTCTCCAGAAACAGCTTCAAAAGCTTATATAGACACTGTTAAATCAGTAAGCTTCACTTTTCATGGCTAATATTTCCATACTTCTGCTTCCAATTCTCTGTCTTTTATAATTGCAATATTTTGCTCTTTTTTTTTCCCGATTTTCTAAGGTGATTGCATTGACTGACTTGCAGTGTCAAAATTTCAAAGAATCAGGTGTAGCTGAGTTACTATCAGCCATGGCTGCTGGCTGGAACTCAAAGCTGATCGTGGAGTCATGGTCATACGGTGGTCCCATAGCAACCAGCGTCGGCCTTTCCGTAGCAGCCCATCATACGTGCGGCAGACACGTGTGCTTAGTCCCGGACGAACGGTCAAGATCAGGCTACGTCAAGGCCATGCAGGAAGCCGGGATGTCATCAACGGTCGTGACAGTCGGAGAAGCTGAAGAAGTGATGGAGGGGCTCGCGGGTGTTGATTTTCTGGTTGTGGACTCAAAGCGGAAGGACTTCGCCAGGGTTTTAAGGTCTGCAAAACTGGGCCATAAGGGTGCAGTTTTGGCGTGCAAGAATGCATGTCACATGGCCATTTCTGGGTTTCGATGGCATTATGTGCTTGAAAGAGGGACACGTGTCGTCAGATCTACGTTCTTACCGGTAGGGCAGGGATTAGATATTGCTCATATAGGGGCTAATGGTGGGGATGTGGGCTCCAAGAAGGGTCCTAGCCGTTGGATTAAGCACATCGATCACCAATCAGGAGAGGAGCATGTTTTCCGAGGCTAAAGGGGATTAGCAGATCGGGTAAATAGTTATAAAATCACAAAATGTTTCCTGTGCATATACATATTGGTCATCCTGTATCTGATTTAGTGAATTTTGTCTTTAAAACTTTACTCCAATTGCTGTAGGCTTGTTAGCTTTATGGTTTTTGGGTGAGGTTGGCCCCAAAATCTTAATCTTTGGTTCGGTGTTACGAATTAAATTATTTGGACAGGCAGATTAACAAATCTTGAACCATAAATCTAACTTGATATAATTAATGGAAAGTTGGATAGAGTTTAGTTGTTAATAATCCAAGAATTAATTCAATTGATTAATGTAATTATTCATAATTAAAATATATAAAAAGTCACAATTTCAGCCTTCATAATTTTAACTTTCATTCTGATATTCTGGCCATGTCAAAATTAAAAAAAAAAAAAAAAATACTGGTAGTGGTAGATAGCAATGGGATACCGAGATTCAGGATACGGCAGCGTAATCAGTTTCATTTTCTTTGTTGGGCTGAAATACTTTTTTTCTCTTCAAACATAAGAGTGTGAGCGAAGCAGGAATATTGGCCCAACAAAAAAAAAAAAAAAAAAAGAAATTGATGTCCCGTGGGCCTTGTTAAGAAATAATAGAGGTACTACTTACTATTGGTTTAAATCAGGTCCTCAAAACAAGGGGCCCAACTGCCTGCCCACTTGTTTCTGGACTTGGGGCTTTTTTTTTCCCCGTATTTATTTAAAATTTTGAGATTTAGTGGTTCTTTTATTGAAATAACGAGGTTCTAATTTTTCCTTCTTCAACTCAGAAAAAAAAATTAGTATTAGAATTTAAAATTTTAATTATAAGATAAAAAATAGACCTCATTAAATGTGAAAATTAATTAGTTCACATTGTATAAGTTAAAAATAAGAAAATAAATCTAATGAGAAAAATCCTTCTTATATATCTAGTAAAAGCTTGGACAAATTTATGAGCTTGAGTTTCATTTTATTGCAATGATAATATAAATGTTTAAAATATGCTGAGAATTTAATTTTTAACAAGTAAATTAATATCAAACATGACAAAAGTATGAAAAGAAAAGAGAAATTGGCATTTTCCAATTAGGTCCCTCTTTCTTTCTTGAACAAAATTTAAATTACATAACAATAACATTATCCAAAAGAAAAGAACATGGTTATATGTACATAAAATAACATCTAACTTCTTCCAAAATTACAGAGCCAGATGGGGTGTTACATGGTCGTCAATATCTCCAACAATTATCTACAACTTTGGTTAGAAAATTAGTAGCATGAAAAGGATCAATTGAATCTTATTCTAATTTTACTCTAATCAATTTCCTTTCATTGCTTCTCAAAGATCGAGTTCGTAAAAGCAAAGCTTTGCCTTGATTAAGCTTTGATCTCTTTCGGATGTGGTGAAGTGATCCTAAAAACATGCTCCTCACCAGTCAATTTATCTATTTTAACAACCCAATGGCTTCTTCTTCTGGTGCTAACTCCATAACCAGCCTTGCTGGGAGTGCCTTTTCTGATCACCAGCAGGCCTTCTCCAATAGGCAGGAAGTGGGTGTTAAATTCATCAGGACTCCTCCCACCTGGTCCCTTATGAAGGGCATTGTACCCTACAATGAGGGCTCCTCCATGTTTTGCACCCTCTTGTGCTGCCCTTAGTACTGCCTTGTCATCACTGATATTACAGTCAATAAGAAAAAAATCTGCGCTTTCGTAATCATTTAGAAGCGTCTTGGCATCCCCTATGACAAAGTTGATACAATCTGCATAGTTTCCTAGAGCTCTTCTGGATGCATCATAAAAGTCGAGACTATTCAATATGCACACCACTCGGCCACCCGTTTGACGAGCGGCCGCGACCAGGGCTAGTGCGGTGGGTCCGGTAACGCCAGCACATGTCATCACCATGAGCTGTGCATTGTTTCCAGCCGCGATGGCTGATATGAACTCGGCTACATCGGGTTCTTTGCCTCTTTTTCCCTATAAAATACATCAGAATATACACTCACTGGTCAGTCACTGGAAGATCAGAAACTAAGTACAAAAAGAACTTAGAAAAGAGATTAATAAACAGGTAGCTTTTGCTTACCATTTTCAAGGCTCGGAGATAAGCTTTGGTGGCATTCTCAGCAGACCAACAAGCCATTTTCCCTTCCTTTGGTTTTCTTGTTCTCTTGCTCGAAACTTGAAAGTAAAGTATAACTATACCTTTGCTTGAGAGTGATTACCATTGGTTTTATACATAAGGTGAGCCCCGGCACCTTGCTCCTTTGTATTATTATATTGGATTATCATATTTGCATGCAAGCAACCGAGGTAGGTTTTTATTGAAGAGATTCTGCCATGACAGCTGGCAAAGTCCTGTTTTTCTTAAAAAAAAAAAAAAAAACTAAGAAAATATGTTGGAACAAACCCGGCTAACGTTCTTGTCCTCGATTCATCATGGAGTAGAGATGTGAGTCGTATCCAAAAGTCGATTTTTTATTTCAATAAGGACGGAGATTTTTATTATATCGTGGAGATAAGATAGTATGATTTTAAATATTTTATCAAGTATAAGGATAAAAATGTAATATCCATTCCGTATTTATATTTTATATATTTATATATATTTAGTAAATAATTTTTTATTAAATAACATAAATTACTATTTTACATTAATTAGAACTAAATATAGTATTATTTAAAATATATATTAATATATATAATTATAAAAAATTACATGCAAAACAAAATTAAAAATTAAAAAAATAAATTTTGATTATTCATACCCATTAAAAATTCACAAGAAAATAAATTTGAAGTAATCATTGAATATAAATACGAAAATAAACATAATATAAAAATCTAGAAAAAAAAAATTCTATCTACAGCACATCCTATTCATTTATATCCTTTATGTATAAAAACTTCACTCACTTGTAAGTGAAAAGAACAAAAATTCAAAGCCTCTGAAAATGCAGTGTGAATAAGAGCTCAGTTGTTAGTCCATCATTCAGTGTATGTTGAATTAATATGCAATATCCATTATTCCCTATGGCCTACAAGAAATGGGACAAAATGAAAAGTTCGTAGCTAAGACGTTTACATCATTATCTCGCTGCAGGTTTCAGCCTCCTGTCCTGTCTTATTATGGAGATAATGTCTTGCCGACTCGCTCTTGGTGTGTATTACAATAAAACTTTGACATCGATGGAGATAAAGTGGGAGAGGAAATTTCCTAGAGAATACTTAAAATCCAAAAGTTAAGAACAACAATGTATGGGGGAGATGATGCGGCATTAATTAGATTCATCAGAGTGGGGCTTTTTTTCTTCTTTTCTTTTCATTTTTCAATATTTGACACTTCTGCAAAAGAAAATTCGCATAAGCAGTAGCATCATGTTGGCTTTTCACCTCTTATTTCCACAATAGCTCTTTGGTTTCTTGAATTTTTGTAAATATTTAGGTACTTAAATCATATTCACCTTTAAGCAACAAAACAGAAATGAGAACAGTTACCCTCTAGTGTTTGAATCGTCCGACCTACGTTTTCATTGTTAGGCCAACAAAGGGAGCGTGACAGCTAAAATGGTTCAAAAAATCAAACTCAACCCACGGTCTTGAATCTATTTTAACTTAAAAATTTTGTCTGAAAAATCAAGATCCATATAATGGAACAGATATCGAAGATGTAGCCAATGGCTCCCACATGCTGCCAACGAGTCCCACAAACAGTTCCCCGCACCACTCGTGAGCCCCAGCTCTTTTTATAGTTTTGTGACCTTCCTGGATGTAGCTCAAATTGTAGAAAATTTGAATCAGATAGTATCATTGAAACTTGATTTCTACTTAACGCCATTCCCAACATATTAACTGTGATGCCCTATACTTTAGATGAAGCACGTATTAAGATGTAGAACCTTTTGCAAGCACAGGAATCAAGCAATGCCCACAGCTGCAGAGAATCAAACAAGGTTTCAATGGAATTTCAGAAGCAGAGTGTCCAAGTTTGCAACAGAAACAGTCCACACTAATCCTTGAAAGTTGAAAGGTTGATGTAGTTGTCTGGTTTACTTGTTTGATTCCCACATAAATAATTGGCTTCACCGGCCAAGGGAATAAATAATAATATTAATAATAAGAAAAATAGTCCAAAATTCAAACTTTGATGTAATTTAATATGTGCAATACGTATCAAGTTGACATAAAAAACACCAGAATAAGGTATGTTAATGGTTATATTTTCCCCGACAACCAACACTAGAATCTAAGTTAGATCGCCTTGTTCTTCAGGCTTATGCATTGACAATCACAGCCTACCCATGGTTTCACTTACATTTTTGGGATTCTTGAAAGCATGTTTTAGCTTTGTCGCTGGTTCTGCTGTTGTTTTTAAATTTGTCATCTCGTCAGTTTCGTAAGAGGCTTCAACATCCCGTACGATTTTTCATTTACATTACCCTTAGCCCTTGCCTTGTTTTGATTCTTTCATTAATTTCTACTGGATTTGAATGATTACGCTCTCTCTTGGCTCTTGGTTGTCAAGTTTTGTTGTGTGCCACATATCAAGGCATGAATGAATTATTATGAACATTTTAACATGAACTGAGCACTTCCTGCACATGACCAAAGAGCTGTCCAAAAATGGAGCATTAATTGATAGATTTTATGCACCAAAAATTTGGGGTTTATCACTTTATAATCCATGGTTCTTTTTTCAGACATTTTACTCTCTCTGTCTCACACATAAAAGAACAAACCTGACCAACAAGAACACATCCAAAGAACGGTAAGGGTAAATTTCAGGACCAATGAAGTTCTGTCCTTTGTGTTATTTTCATTTTACTTTTTTCATCCTTGCATTGCAAATAAAGAGTTTCTACTGTCTAATGCACAACTGTTAAGAGAATACCAAACAAAAACATATCTAGCGGGTTAGCACCTGCTTCGCCTAAATGGATAAAAGATCCATACTTTGGTATCATTTACGCTAGGGAAGGGACCGAAAAAGGCCATAACCAGTAACCAGCAATTGGTCATAGTTTCATTCTATATCAATCCTAACAATTTTCTTGGTTCTACCCCCAGAATTAGTTCCTGCTTCACTATCTGCTCCTTTACCTCTGGTGTTTCGGGCCTGATCTCTAAATGGTAGTCTCCAATTGTTCCACACTGCCTTCCCCATCCGTTCATCAGTTCTAGATCCTGCATTCACATTGGATACAGAGGTTGAGATATGCAATGAAAACTAAAAGGCATCTATTTTTTGCCGCCAGATAAATTGAAAAAATGGAAGACGTGTCAAATTGCATGATAATGAAGGTTAAACCTTAATATATTAGGAAATCCCATGAAATTAAACCTTCTAAGATTTTTTTTTTTTTTTGCAGAACAATATTATTATACATATACAAGATAAATTTTTTAGTATTACTAGAATAAATGATATGATAATCTAAAAATAAAAAAATAAAAATTAAGATCTCTAGAAATAAGCAACAATATAGGTTAAAAGAAATGTTTACCAGCATTTGCATGCATGCTAAATCCATCAACCCAACCAGGCAGATGACCCTGACTATTACCCTTCCAAGCCTCTTCAAATTCCGCAAGCTCATCTAATAAAGAAGCATTGCAATATGACAATATCAGTTCCATTCAATCACAATGCACTTGAATAGTCACAGCAAGCAACCAGAGAACAAACCTTCATTCAAGTTGTGTAATGTTTGTGTTGTGTCCACCTTACCGTCTGAATTGAGCTTCCTTGTAACAGAATGGCCCTGCATGAGGAAAGGAACATTCTCAATCCTAGCAAAATTTTAAATGTGCAAATAACTGCAAGTGACACTTAAATTTTTATTTTTTCTTTATCACTTCTACAGATTTCTCATCACAGTGAAAGGCAGCAAATGAAAAGGATCAAATAAATGAAAAACACTCGAAGCAAAATTAACTCCCAGGACTAGTGGCTATACACTAAACTGCATGAAGATTTATCTGATAACAAACATCAATTTCTAAAGCAAAGCTTAAAACTAAGGTAATGTTTGGATAAATATTTACAAAGGAAAGGAAAGGAAAGGAAAGGAAAGGATAAAAAGTTTTTTAAAGGAAAGGAAATGATATATGTACCCCTTGTTTGAATAATTAAAATTAATAAAAGAAAGGAAAGGAAAAGAATTCTAACACCCATTGTTTGGATAAAGAGTGAAAAAGAAAGGAAATGATTCATTATAATAAAAATTTTCAATTATAACCTTTCATTACCTGTGATTTTAAAGTACTCCTGAATCATGATATGTTTGTTATCTTGTATGGCCTTACAATTGCTGCTATATCAATGGTTTTCAATCAAATGAAAAAGAAAGATGTTTTACAAATATGCATTGATGGATTTTTTAGCCATTGCCAAAATTTCAGCACACTCACTTTGGTGATGTATTTATATAAAAGCTATTAAATATAAAAAATGCAATCATATAAAAACATTACATCTCATAAATTAAAAAAATATGTCTATTCATATCAAATCATACATTAAAATCAAATCACCAAAAAATTATAAAAAATTTTTATATTGGAAGAAACATGAAACTTACTTTAAAAAAAGAGATAGCTTTGAAAAAATTACAACAAGATTGTGATGTGATTAGGTTTTTTTTATTAGATTTTTAATATTAATAAAAAGATGAATATAATAGTTTTTTTATAAAAATAAAATTTTTTCAACTTTCCTTTCTATAGATTTTCTCCAAATTGGGGTATTAAAAAAGTGAGGATTTTAAGGGAAACCAAAAGTTATTGAGTTTCCACCTCTTTCCTTTCCTTTAAATTAAAAGTTTATCCAAACAAAGGAAAGGATGTTTTGTTTCCATTACTTTCCTTTATTTTCCTTTCCTTTCCTTCCCTTCCCTTCCCTTCCCCTCGATCCAAACATAGTGTAAGTCTTATCATGTCTATGAATTAGATGACTCGGAATCAACAGTATTTTGAAATTGTACCACAAACTGTAATTTCAATGGTATATTGTGAAGTTTCTTGGAGGATATTTCCCTTTAGAACACACAAATTTGTAGTTATTTGTAAAATGATTGACATATATAACTGCATTCTTTAGTTTGACCCGTTATTATTAATTGTTCACTAGAAAGGCTAGTAACACCACCAATGGGAATAATTACCTTATCATGAATTCCTCTAGAAATCCTATGTGTTGCTTGACCTGTTGTTCTATCGGCTTCTTTTCTCTCCTCAATTACCACCTAAAACACCAACATGGACATCAAAAACAATAAGAGATTTAATTATAATTGAGCATTCCTAGAATAAGTTACTTACTCCATCACCACCTGTCCTCCTGCTTTTGGTAGAAGTGTAATAAGCTCCATCTATACCACCATATGTAACTTTGCAAGTCTGAACACTAAAACTGCGAGCCGGTGACTTCGTTCCCTTCACCCTGTCATAGTCATTCCTATGATTCATATTCTGAATCTTCCCATCTGATAGATATACCAAAACAATCATTACAGCTTAGAAAATAAATAATGAAAAGATAAAAGAAAGATCTTAAATACATGCTACTCATCCAAAATCAAATTCCATTACCATTAGCACCATCATCTGGGTGCTCAATAGATGGTTCCTTGCCTGACCCAGCATGCTCAGTGGTGCATTTATCTTTCCCTATGTCTTCTTCGTCATCAGAGTTCAGTTCTTCTATAACTATTCCCTTTCCTCCATCGCTCTCCAGTGTTTCACAGGAAGTGGCACTTTGATCAAAGATGCTAGATTCAAACATGCTACCAAGTGGACGAGTGAAGAATGGATCATCGAAAGGATCTCTGCCTCCAAAGAGGCTAGGCATTATAGTTCTACGGGATCCAAAGCTACCAAACCTTTGGAAACCATCAAATGAACCACCCATATCAAAGAGGTCATTTCTGCCTTCTCTTTCCCTCTGCATTTCGTATGCTGTCTGAAAAAAAAAAAAAAATGAAACACATATTGATGCTAAACAAACAAAGATTTCTTTGAGAAGACCTTAACAAATGAACAACTAGACTGTTAAAGAGAAAAACATACAATCACAGAAAGATCATTGTAACCGTAGAAAAATAAATCATAAAAGATTCAAATTATAAAATTTCTTCAACACTAACTTTTGAAAGTTTAAAACAAAGCATTTCCAGATATACCAAATAAAGAAACTCAATATCATCAACTTTTATTCTCTATCTACTAAAGAGGATAATTCAAAAAAAAAAAAAGAAAGAAACGAGGTCATCATCAACTCCATCGCTCAAATGGCAACTTAACTGCAAAAGATTTCCAAATAATTTATAGGGCACTTGTTGGTTATCACATTTTAACATTTATTTAAAAGGAAATGTTAATTTCTTCAGATTAATATTAGACTAGCTAATTATACATAGAACTGTAAGGCTTACTAATGCTCAATTCCATCCATAAAAAATACAGGGAAAAACAAAAACTATTCAAAACGAGAAACTTTCACATAGACAATCCTTTAATTGTTGAAGTGCTCATTTCCTACAACAAAATCATTTAACAATTACAAAATTTATTAATAAACTGGGCAATTCAAACGACCATAGATGAAAAAGAACCGAAATTCAGCTTTAGGTAATGCACAAGAAAGAAGAGTTATCATAAAAGCGAAATTTTCAATAAAAAAATAAGTCCATAAAAAGTATAAAATATAAATACATTTACCAGAAAAAAAGGAAAAAAACTTAAAATTGGAATTCTTTGATCGAATATCATCAACCGCATAATTTCTTGATGCTTATTCTTAGTAGTAATATAATTAGGGCTATGGGGAATATGAAAGAGAGAGATGATTACCGGATGAAACGAGGTGATTGCAAAAATCTGAGAAGGATCTCAAAGGGCTAAAGAAGGAGCCAGAGAACAGCCAGTAGAGCTGTGTGTTCCTGGCCTGGAGCAGCGAATTTAAAAAGCCACGGCCTTCAGTTGGGAACAAAGAACATTAGAGAAGGCGACACGTGTCCTCAATAAATCCACGTTCTTCTGTAAGCTAGAATGTTCCCGTTTTGGTATGGACAAAGGTCTTAATCAAAAGTTCAAAGCATTATATTTTTTATTTTTTATTTCTATTTTCTTTGAAAATCTAAATGCTATAAGGAGTTTTTTTTTTTTTCTTTTTTAAGAAAAAGCATGTATAAATAATGACAAGAGTTTGTAATTAAAAGGTACGAATTCAAAAAGAATTTTATCGTATAATATTTTTTTCAGCAAGAAAAATTATATGTAAGAGAATTTAAAGATAAACTAATTTAATAAAATTAAATATTTACAGATTTTACTTTCCCAAGAATTGTGGTAAAAATTCAATTTTCTTTGAATATTTACAGATATTTTTTGTAGATGTTTTACAACAAACCTACAACGTGAAAACATTCCATACCCTAAAACCTACTATTCCTGAACTTTTGAAATTATAATTAGAACATAACATGAAACTAAAATTAAATTTGTCGGCCCATCACCCCCCCCCCCCAACCATTTTCACAACAATATGCTGCTTTCCCCGATACTCTCTCTCTCTCTACTGTTATTTCTACGCGAAGATGCCTGTGGCTGTGGGAATGAATTGGAAGCCAAATTGGCCGCGGAGTAATATACTGGTTAGAATACAAGGGAACAACGGACGAGGCTTCCGTATCTATAATTACAACAAAATCATCCAAATTCCCTGGCATGGAGAAAGGATTTTACTCTTTAGAATTCCTGGGAATCAAAATCAGGCTTTGATGGATATTCAAGACCCTGAAGTGCTGGCATCCGTCGTAAATCCTCGTCTGAATATGCTGGAATCAACCAGTATCGCTTGTCTGTTCCAAATACCTGTGTATAAACAAACAGCAGAACTTGAGTAAACTGATTACAGTCAACATGCCCGAAAGGCCACATATAAGAACGCAAACTCCATAACTAGGCAACAGAATCAAACTTCTAAATAATAATTTAGAAAAAATATTCAAAGATTTGGTATCAAAAGAGTACTTGTTGAACAAAAATTGCAAGTAAAACATTTTAAAGAACAAATTCGGACAACCCAAAAGACATAGGAAAATGAAGGAGATTAATTGAGTATGACCAGAAGAATCACCTAATTGCCAGGATATGAATTTTTTTTTATGCAAGAAATACATGTAAAGAAACAAGGGAAAATAGCAATGTATTGCAAAACAGTTAACCTGTTCAAAATTTTTCTTCCGACCAAGGTCATAACGCCATTTTGGAGTCGTTTTCTTCTCATATGCCTGTTCAAAAGACAACTAAAGATTTTGTCAGTAAACTTGAATCCATTTATACACCACACAATCTGACTGAAAGATGGCCCTAAATTCTCATTGGGGATATTCAGTTAATCTGTTTGGTATCATGGTATTTGAGTTCCTTCAAAAATTAGTACTTCTTTTCCTCCTTTTATTGGGCAGTGAAAGGGGTAAAAAATTCACACACATCTGATTGAGCATGTTTCTTGGTATTATGACATGATGCTATAATAATAAGAAAAACTGAAAACACCAACTATTATGACAAGGTACTAAAATTCAAGATGAAGACAATACCTCAATAGTTGTGGTATTAGCAGCCACCAAAGATGCGTGCATGATCAAAAACCCCAAAACACTCAATGCAAATGCCAGATTCAAAACTGTGACAAGAGAACTTATCATACATTAGAACGTAAGTCACTAAAGTTAAATAGGTCAAAAAAGCAGTCCAAGCATCCTACCAAAGGCAAGGAAAGTCGTAGCGAGGGTGCCAGGAGTTCCAGGAATTTCTCCATCACTAAAGAATGCTATGAAATGTGGCAATAAGGCCAAAGTCACAAGACTAGTCTCGAGGAATGTGTAAAACTACATTGAAGTTTAAAATCATAGTCAAAGGAATGCCAAGAAATCAGAAGCATTACTCCATCAACATCTCATGAATTACAATCATTATTCATTGCCTATATTGCTATAATCAATGCAGAGAGGAAAAAATGTCAGAAAGAAAATAAACACTCCACAACTCAATTTATGCCTTCAAAAGTAATTTGAAAATAGGAACTAAAAAGCATAAAATGTATGAGAAACTAATTCAAAAATAAAGCAAACATACCAAGAAAAGAAGGAAATACTTGTAATTTAGTGCACCAACACAATTGACAACCCACACACAATGATGATCCATCTTAAGCACACAATGCCCACCTGAAACAACGAAATTGATATGGAACTGATCATCAAAAATAACAATATTATTAGCAAATCAAGAAAAAGAAATGGTGTATTTTGGTGAGTGAAGAACGCACAAACAGAACAATGATGACATCGAGGAGGCTTCAGCTGGTTGCACTTCCGACAATATCGAATTCTTTGATTTGATGGGTCCGGCTGCAAACCATTGAACTCTGAACCATTCAATGGGTCAGCCTCCCCTCTCTCCTCATCCATAGCTGGCCTCCAGTTAGGTGGCACACTACCAGCATCAGTCAAAACAACAGAAAAGTAACTCCATAACAGCATCACCAACTGCAGAATCACATCAAAATTTCCACATTTAGAGTCAGTTTCCACCATACATTTAACCATCCATTATTTTTACATTCTTTTAGCAATGTGATTACGTTAATCACAATTCCAGAATCCAATTTATTATTTTAGCATTGCAAGTTTGAAACTAGAATAGAAAAACGGTCCAAGTGGGAACCTTGTGCTATAACTTTTAACAATACATCAGATTTGTCCTTTCTCCTTTTTTTTTTTTTTTACATTTATAAAACAAAAGGCAAGAAGTATGAAAATTTAAGGATTCATAACATCAAGGACAAAAAGGAACAAAATTTGAGATTCAGAAAGATCACTCCAACTAATGAGTAAGCAAACACATCCAAGCTTAATATTTTAAGAACCATCGACCAATTTTCTTACCCAATGGAGCTAGTTTTTAGTGAAATTAAAAAAAAAAAGGTTAAATTTCAAGGTATCTAAGTCAGACACAATATCTATAATCTAACAAAACCCCACCAAAGAAAAAAAAATTGGAGACTTACCAAACAATGAAATAAGATCAAAACAATTACAGCAGTGAGGGAATCAAGACCGCCATCGTACAAAGCTGGGCCATAATTAGTCAAAACAACAGAGTAGTATGTGACACACACGACCCCTAAAACCAACAGGATCATGATGGAGCCCAGACCCCTCAAAACCGTACAAAACTTGAACACGTTCCACGCCATCGTTGCTCCAGATCTATGCATAATACCCAGATAACAAATAACACAGAAAAAAATCTGATCTTTTTTTTCCTGATAGTGCTTGCAACCGCTATGAGTCCTAATTAAGGCTGTCTCAATGGCTTGGAAGATGTAATAATCTCAGGTTGAAAGTGAAACAATGAAAAAGAGGAGGGAAAAAAAACCAAAAAAGGAGTTTTTTGTTTCTCTGAGATATTTTGTGAAAGTGGGATTGTGAATCTAGGGTTTATGGGGATTGATATAAGCCGGGAGTTGGGATTCCAGGCAACGTGTGGAATCCATTTTTGCTAGACCGAAGACCAGAGAGAGAAAGAAAAGAAAAGATTTTCTCTTTCTTAATTTTTATTTTCTTTCTATTTACCCCATTATTGGACCCAAAAAAAGAATTGCAAAAGAAAGGGTAAAGCGGCACATTTGATTTGGTAAGATGTAATTGAGAAAAAAATTAATGTAGGACAACCTTTTTTTAAACAGTATTCCAAATAAAATAAAAAAATAAATAAATGCTAAGTGCTGCTTGCAACAAACAAGATGTGCGGCTGCTTTATATTTTAAGGAAGGTTTGTTTGGTCATATTTCTTAATTCTAGAAGGCGGCACACCACGTCACCACTTTGTAATTATCTCTTTTTTTTTTTTCCTATAAAGACTAGGCGGTACTAATAGCTTGATTATCGCGGTTAAAATTGACTCATTTTATTGCCACTTCCTCTGTTTATTTCCTTTTTTTTTTCTTTTTTATTTTACTGGTTATTTTTATATCTAAAAAAAAAATTCTGTCTTAAGTAAGATTAAAAAAAGAGTTTTGTCTTAAGTAAATAGAAAAAGGATTCAATTAAGAAGGGTTAATATTAAAAATAATAAATATATAATTTACTAAATTATTTTCATTAAATTAAAAAATAATGCAGTAATTATATATTTTAAATATCATCTTAATCATCTATTAACATTTCTCATAAAAAAAAATCAAAATTTCAATTCAAAAGGAATATATTTAGGGTGATTATGACTTATGGATTTAGGAGGCTCAATCATTTTCAACACGGTGAAGCTTTTAAGCCACCGTTAGATATGATATGACCAAGCTAAAGTCACTTGGCAAGGCAAAAAAAACAGAGAATGGAAAATTCTTTCTTTGACCGGAGACTAATAAATTTTCTCATGAAAAATACAATGGAGTTAAGAGCAAGAAAAATTGAAAAAAAGTAGGTTAGATGCCCATTACCCGTACTATGTAAACGCCAACTTAACTTCCATTAGTTTCAATTACCTACTAATTAAAAAATATATATGTCCCACCAATACATAAAAGAAACATAATTCATGAATAAAATATTTTGCATGTGACTGTCACAGGGACATATGTTTTACAAAAAAAAAAAAAAAAGGGAAAAAGAGAACATGGAACGACCATTTTGTCATAATAGAAAAATTATTAATAAAATTTAGTCCGTTGTATATACCTAGAGAGCGAAATGGTACTCATTTGTGCATATTATGCTCTCTGGAGAAACAAAAGGATGAGTTTGTTTGTGACAATAGGATTTGTATATATATTATTTCAAAATAAAAAGGACGTTATTGTATTTATCAGACAATATTGCTCACGCATGCATGTTGTTGTCTTGAAATATTTAATTGAAATATCTGCATCAACCTGATCATCAGCTAGCTAAGGGGAGGAATTCGGGCTAATTTATAGATGTTTGTTAATTGAAGCAAAGCAGAGAACGAAAGGAAAACAGAAATAATAAATTAAAGAAGATCAGAAACAGAGAAAGGGGTAGATCGATGGAAGAAGATAGAATTAGGATAGTTTGTGTAACTGGTGGAACAGGATATGTAGCATCATGGGCTGGTTATGAGGCTTCTTCAACATGGTTACTTTGTCCGAGCTACCGTTCGATCAGACCCAGCAGATAAGTAGGATCCACTTTCCCACTGAGTAGTGACTACTGTACTAACTCATATGGCCAAGGGCCAACCAGAAAGAGGAGAGAAAACACCTGAAAACTGATGCTCAAAGTTGAAGTCACACATTTTATTACAAGTTTGATGAATCTGTTTTTTTGTTTTCTCTTAGTCCAAAAGGATATAAAATTAATTAATAGTAAGCCAGTTTTGCTTGGATTGCAAACTTGCAAGTTATAATCACCTCTATATTATTCATTGAGACTATATTGTAACAAAGAAAAATTAAAATGATATTTCTTACTGATGCTTGAGATAGCTTGTCCCTATCATAAAGCTACTGGTGAGAATCACTCTTTGACTTTGTGACTAGGCATTCCCTTCTTCATTCCTTGGATGGAGTTGTCGGTTTCCCCCTCCTCACTAAAGCTTCTGTGCTTTATAAATCACCCCATTCTAGCTTCATCTGTGAACACAGTCAATAACGTGGCTTTGGTAGAGCGACATGGATTAGTAATTGAGAAACATTAATTGCTTAAGTCCACAAGAGGCCTAAATTTTAGGCCCATCTTTCTTCATGAGCTGTATTAAACCTTGGGCTGTGCCTTAAGTTGACTCCAATTTATAATACTCACCTCTGGTCCGAACCCAAAATTGACTTTTAAAACATGGGCAGATTGCAAGAGAGATATAAGCTACCTCACAAACCTGCCAGGGGCAGCAGAGAGGCTTCAAATTATCAATGCAGATCTCAATCAACCAGATAGCTTCGAAGCAGCCATTCAAGGATGCATGGGAGTCTTTCATGTTGTTCATTTTAAGGGTATAAATGATATATTAATATTCGTAAGTTATTTGGGTTTGATTCGAATAAAATTTAAATTCGATTTGATTATTATCGAGTCGAATTCGAGTAATTCGATTATCGATCGAATCAAGTTCGAGTATTCTTATACTTGGCTCGAATAATCGTAAGCTAATTGAGTTTTATATTTAAATTTTTTTATTATTGTAATTAATAAAATATATCGAGTTCGAACTCGAATACAAATAATCAATCATTATCGAATATAAGAATCGAGCTTAATCGAACGAAATTCGAGTAGTTTTATTTTGATCATGAATCGAGTTCGAACTAAAAAAATAAAACTTGATCGAATTTTAGTCAAATATCGAGCATCTCAGTTAAGAGTCAAACTCGAATTCGAACTCAAACTTCTTATTGTATCGCTTCGATTCGACTTGATTACACTCCATCTCATCAACGTTAAGGGCATAGAGCCTGAAGAAATAGTGACCAAACGAGCTGTGGAAGGATTGCTTGGCATTTTAAAGGCATCCTTGAAATCCGAGACCGTGAAACGAGTTGTTTACACTTCTACTGCAGGCGCAATATTATATAACAACAAAGGCCTAAGTGTAAATGATGAAAGTACATGGAGTGATCTAGATTTGTGCAGAAGCAACAAGCTTGTAAGCATGTCCTATTTGGGTTCAAAGATCATGGCAGAAAAAACAGCCCTAGAATTTGCGGAAAGACATGGATTAGAAGTTGTCACGCTGGTTCTTCCTTTGGTTGTTGGACCCTTTATTTATACGAGTATACCTCCATCCGTTTACGTCTTGCTGACTATGATTCTGGGTATGTGTTATGTATATTTCATCCACCTATAATTCACTTTTTTCGTTTAAGTTGACCTTCCATGGCTTATTATTCGTGCAGAGAAACATGATGATTATAAGTATCTTTTCGGTTCATATAATATGGTACACGTTGATGATGTGGCCCATGCCCATATCTTCCTTCTTGAGCATCCTAATGCAAAAGGGAGATGCATTTGTTCTTCTGTCACTATCTCGATTCATTCTATGTTCGAATATTTTTCCACCAAATACCCCGAATTTGAAATGCTTAGAATCGATTGAGTGTCCAATTATTTGTTTGTGAAATTTACTGCATATGTTTCTAGTAGTACTGATCCGTTTGATACTTTTCTTGCAGTCGCTTAAAAGAATTTAATGGTCAGATGAGATCAAGCCTATCATCAGCAAAACTCTTGAATTCTGGATTCAAATTTAAGTACAATATCGACCAGATCTTCGCTGGAGCTATTCAATGCTGCAAAGACAGAAGCATTCTTTAGGTCATGTTTGCCACAAATTCCCAAGATGTAACAGCATGTGGACATGATCACAGCAGCTGTAACCGATCTAACTCATCTCTAAATAAATCTTAATAATTTCCTTCTTCCCCGTAAAAAGTTATCCAAAAAAATGGCTTTATTAGTTGGGCTCTATTTGGATTTTGGATGACTCTTCATTAGTTTTCATATAGTCATGGGCTGTCCCTTGAAAATTCTCAAATTCTCAATTGTCACCACAAGCCCAATTGCATTTGCAAACTGCAAAAAAAAAAATGAAGAACGTACGGTAGATTGCAAGAGCAGAGACATTGCCAAGGCAGCAGATAGGATCCAAATAATCAATGCAGTTTTCTCAATTAACCTTATAGCTTCGAAGCAGTCATTCAAGGATGCGTTACAAGACCGTACAACGAGCTGTTGGCTTCTACTGCGCGAGCCATATTCAAGAAAGAATAAATAAGTCTGACAAGTGTAAACGACGACAAGTATGTGGAAATTGGAATGATCTGCATTAGGAGCAATTATAAGTCAAAATCATGGTAGAAAAGACAACTAGCCCTAGAATTTTCCAAAAAACATGGATTAAAAATATCATGCACATTGGTTCTTCCTCCTCCAGCTTTATTTTTCCAAGAAATCTGCAGGAAAATTTAAAAATTCGACAATTATAAGATTAAAAATTGGGCATGTTTGGCATGGATCATTTTAATGTCAAATTAAGCACATAGCCTAGCCGCTAGAAACGAAATTAGTAGGTTGGTGTAGAATTAATCAATTTCTAGAATAGCATTTATTAAAAATAATTTCAGTCCCAAGACTTTTTCTTTTTGCTACTTTCACCTACTGGTGTTAGCCATGAAATATTGAAATTTAACATTTCAAGTTTTTTTATTAGATCACTTAATCAAATATGAAATATTGAACAATGCACTTAAACATCTAGTACTGAGAACAACTTCCAACGAAGTTCAAACTTCATAATTCATGTGGAGAAAATTTTTATTTTTAATAAAAGGCTTGACATTTGAACTTAAAAGTTTATGATTATTGATCATGTATACTCGCTAAGTTAGTAAAGACCCATGTAAATTTTTTGTTTTACTGAACTATTTCGCCATACGCAAAATTACTGTAATCGTCGATCGTCATTGCATACGCATCAAGGTCCAAGAAAGCAAGCGTAAACAGTACTCCTTTAACACGATGCAGCCTTTGAAAAGAACACCTACCTAAAGGAGAGGAAAAGGATGGCGGTGACAGTGACTCCCAAAACCTGGCAGAAAAGAGGAAAAACTGGACCCAAACTTTGAAGTCCACGTCGGACATCAATCGCTTGCCACTATATAAAACCTAGTAAGAGGCTTAGAGCAAATTCAGTATTCATATCTCAAAACAAACAACACTGCTGAAGCCAGAATTGCAAATACCCATTCCACTGAGAGAAAGAAGAGAGACATAGGGCGATGGAAGGAGATAAAGGAACTGTCTGCGTCACAGGAGGAACCGGATACATAGGCTCGTGGCTGATCAAGGTGCTTCTTGAACAGGGTTACTCTGTTCATACTACTGTCAGAGTCGACCCAGGTAAAGATCAAAGTAAAGTCGATCAAAAATATAATGTCCTATTAATTATTATCAAGGTTTTTTTTTTTTTTTTTATGTGTAGATATGTATGGACAGAGTAACTGATGTAAATTAAGTTCAGGTTGAGACAATTAATGTTAAACAAGTGAGCAGAGTTAGTTTTGGTATTTGGACTGATTCATGGTGAAATATGACCAGGTAACAAGAGAGATCTTAGCTTCCTCACCAGCCTACCAGGTGCAGATGAAAAGCTTAAAATCTTCACGGCAGATCTTAGTTGTCCTGAGAGTTTCGATGCAGCCATTGAGGGATGCAAAGGAGTTATCCATGTTGCCGCTCCCATGAATTTCCAAGAGGACGAAACTGAGGCAGTATTGACACAAAGGGCAATCGATGGAGCACTAGGCATTTTGAAGTCATGCTTAAGATCAAAAACAGTGAAGAGAGTCGTCTTCACTTCTACCATTGCCGCAGTTTATTTCAACAAGAAGAATGTGGACGTGATGGATGAGAGTTATTGGACTGATGTGGATTACATTAGAGAACTTAACTTGCACGTAAGTTCTTATGCGATTTCCAAGACCTTGACAGAAAAAGCAGTTATTGAATTCGCAGCAGAACATGGATTGGATCTGTTGACGGTCATTCCTCCGATGGTTGTCGGTCCCTTCATTTGTCCAAAGATGCAGAATACAGTGCGCGTAGCTTTGACTCCGATACTAGGTATAAGTTGAATTGTCTTTCTTACGTACGATTGGTTAAATTATAATACTTAAAAATGTTGTTTTTCTATGTATAATTATTGATTCAACGGAGAGAAATATTTACCAAAAAAATATACTATGAACCTTTTGGGTCTGTTCAGGGGGTACGGCTGACGATAGTCTTCTTATCAATGCCGCGATGGTGCATATTGATGATTTGTCAAGGGCAATGATCTTCCTGCTAGAGAATCCTGATGCAAAAGGGAGGTATAATTGTTCCTCGGACACAGTAACTATTGAAAAGATTGTTGAACTTCTTTCAGCTAATTATCCAGAATTCCCAATTGTGCAGTGAGTTTTTTTTTTTTTTTTTTCACTTGACATTTTCTTAATTAATTTTAAACTCATGTTATCTTAATCTTGGGACTAAAAGAAAAAATTGACGACCTTTATAATTTCTTGGCAGTTCACTAGCAGAAACTGAAGGTACTAGAATGCCAGGTTTGTCATCAAAGAAACTCATGGATTTGGGTTTCAAATTTAACTATGGGGTTAAGGATATATATGATGGAGCTATTAAGTGCTGCAAGGAAAAAGGGTTTCTCTGGTAAGCACAATCATCGCTCTCTAGCGTGGTTTGAGATCATGGAACGAAATCTATAGGAACATATTAACTGATTTTTTTAATTTGGTACATTGCAGAGATCAAGGACTTGATGACTTTATGTATGATTCAATCAGTTGAGGGCTTCCTTTGGAGATTTTAGGATTCTGAAGAAGGAAGCAGCTCATTATTTTTGGTCTAATAACAGGAAAATTAATGTATTTTCTGCTGGATTTTCATGTTTGGATGCTTGTGTTTTGCTGAAGTATATATGGACTTCATTATTGTAGTTTGGTTGCAGCCAAGTTTCTTTCTCAACGTTCACCAATAAATAATTAAAACAAGAATGCATACCTCCAAAGATGAAGTTTAATTAAACTATTTGGACTACTATATTGCGTATCCAACATTTTGAACCAAATGCCTAAGACATAGTTATTGATTGTTGGATTCTATGGTAGTTTGTACAAGTAAAAAGATGAAGGGCTGACAATCAAACAAATGAAAAGTAAAAAGTCCAAATAGTAGTATATAACTGGGAACAAATAAGTTACACAACCTACCATTTGGACATGATTGCATATTTGAATATGCGTTTAAGAATCTTAAAGGCATAATTATAATTATGAGGAATTGTAATAAAGTTTTTAGATCAGTATCGACCATCTTGCTTTTTAATTGCCGAGAAAGAATAAGGCTAAACAATTGAAGGAAAAAAATAAAAAAATGAAAAACAAATAATTAAATGTAAGAATTTTAATGAATCGAACCTTTGAAGCCGATTTTGAACATCCGGATGTGGAAGATCCAAGCATTTCATACAATAGCCCTGCAAAGAAAATTAGTCATCAAATCATAAGCCAAACTGCACTCAACAAACCCTCCAAATGCAAATCGTAGGGGATCACGCTTTACGAGGGCGCACGGAGACAGAGCTAGAAAGATGTAATTCTAACTTGAGGTTTCAAGAACTTGAAAATCAAGTGGAACAAATGGAAAATTTAGGAAACAAAAAGAACAATAGTTAAATGCAGAAGACATAGGATCGCGGTTGAACTGACGAAAGACCTTGTATTCTTTTTCACCGTCATGAGAAGATGACTCAGAATAGGAAAACGACATCGGCAATTATAATTTTGTCGATTTTGCAAACAAAAAAAAATGATTTTCCAGATCTAGAAAATAATAATACACAAAACTCGTTAAAAAAGAAAAAGAGAAATTTTTGAAGGAAAATAAATAGAAGAGTTCATGCTTTTGTGTAAGATGAGATAAAGATTGCGCAGTGTGAGAATGGCCATTATATTAAGTAAGGTTGGTGTTCAAACAAATTCCGTATTTCAGTCCTCTTTTAGCGATAATCTTGAAGGTAGTTTGAACTACAAGCAGGCTCCCAACGGTCATTAATTTGAACCGTTAATATTTTTTGTTTTTTACTTATCGAACCCTAAAGTTTGGGAAATTTTTTGGATTTACCCATTTATTTTAGTTTGCGAAAATTCACCCATTTATTACAGGTCAAGAAAATGAAAAAAAAAAAAAAAAAGGGAGGGAGGAGATTCCAAATTTATGCAAACTGATGATACTTAAGTGCACCTTCAGAATAAAAAAATAGTATTTGCATATAATAAATTAAAATTTTATATATTTTCAATGCCTGCAAATCAAATATTAATCTTAATATAAAAGTTTTTAAAGATTGCTTTATGAGAAATTACATTTTTTTCCTTACTATTACTGTGTATAATTATAAAAGTTTATATTTGATATCTTATTAGTACAAAATTTAAATTTTATAAGTGGTATCAAAAAATTAATACACGTTTCTTTTTTATTTTTTATGAATTTTTTATTTTTAAATATATTTTAGAAAATATGCATCACTTTGTTAAGTCTAAAGTTTTCAATTTATTCGGGAGTATGCGTAGTTCACAAAAGAATAAGACCAATTAGTCCACAAGGGTTTGTTTAAGTCAGTTTAAGCCAGTTTTGATGGATTTTGCGGTCGGTATGATAAGGTGACCGTCAAAGTCACGTCTCATTCGTGCGTAGCAAAAAAATAAAAAATAAAAGTCATATCTCATTCGTGTAAAATGGCAGATACCACGGATCAAGGAGTTTCCTGTAAGCTTATATAAATATTTGGGACAACATGAAGCAATATTTTGTATGTAAATTGGGACTTACTTGAGATTTTTCTATACTGCAGTGGTGGAAGACCTTTCCAGGGGATGGCAGCCATTACCCTCTATGGATGACATATATCTCATCCAGCCATCAAAAGAAAAGTACAGCGTTTTTTCTATTAAATTTCATTAAACTTTAACAAACATATTCCTTCGTTGCTTTTGACCTCTGCTTGTCTCTGTAAAAATGCTATAACAATGTTTCAAAACTCTGAGCCCATTTTAATCCTATCTTTTGCTGGCATGCAGTGTTGTCATGTTCATATCTGATATGTCTGGGAGGGAGACTTTATACAAAAAGTATGTGAATGATTTTCCAGAAACTTTGTTTTATATGATTAATAATTTAGATCTTTCAGTTTGAAATTGTCTGATAATGTTCTCTGATCTTCACCATCTCGTATCTCCTAATTTTTTTAGGGCATTTTGTATTTTTTAATTCACCTGTTCAAAAAGAATTCGTTAATCACATCAAAAGCGATATAAGTGTGTTTTCTCGCATGGATGCATTAAGAGAGGTCCAAAATTTTTATAATATTAGTTCTTGCAACATTTGCTTGTTCTTGGTGTTTTACTTAGATTATTCCTTTTTGATTTATCATCTAATTTAGATTATTCCTTTTTTATTTATCATCTAATTTCTTGTTTGGTAAATGCAGATGAATTAGGAGTATTTTCCTATAGATAGTCAGGTAAGACAACATATTTATTCCTTCATTTTTGTTTCTAGGCCTTTTTATCTGTTATATTATTCATCGAGACTACACTGTGGCGAAGAAAAATTAAAATGATGTTTCTTATTGATGCTTGAGATTGCTTGTCGTTAGCATAAAGCTGCTGGTGCTAATCACTCTTTGACTTTGTTACGAGGCATTCCCTTGCTCATTTCTTAGATGGACTTGCTGGTTTACCCCTCACCACTAAGCTTATTAATCTCCCCATTCCGGATTCACCTGTAAGACTGTCAATAACTTGGCTTGGGCTTGGGTAGAGCGAGGTCCAGATCAGACCTGGACCCTGTATTAGTTAATTGCTTCAGCGCACAAGAGGCCTAAATTATAGTCCCAAATTTCTTCGTGAGCTGTATTTAAACTTGGGCTGTTCTTTAAGTGGACTCCGATTTAAAATATTCAGCTCAGGTCGGAACCCAAATTTGACTTTTAAAATATGGGCAGATTGCAAGAGAAACACAAACCTGCCAGGGGCAGCAGGGAGGCTTCAAATTATCAATGCAGATCTCAATCAACAGATAGCTTCCAAGCAGCCATTAAGGGATGCATGGGAGTCTTTCATGTTGCTCACCTCATGGACTTTAAGGGCAAAGAGCCTGAAGAACAAGTGACTAAACGAGCTGTGGAAGGATTGCTTGGCATTTTAAAGGCGTCCATGAAATCCAAGACCGTGAAACGAGTTGTTTACACTTCTACTGCAGGCGCCATTTTATATAACAACAAAGGCCTAAGTGTAAATGATGAAAGTATAAGGAATGATCTAGATTTATGCAGAAGCAACAAGCTTGTAAACATGTCTATTTGGGTTCAAAGATCATGGCAGAAAAAACTGCCCTAGAATTTGCGGAAAGACATGGATTAGAAGTTGTCATGCTGGTTCTTCCTTCGGTTGTTGGACCCTTTATTTGTCCGAATATGCCTTCATCGCTTTACGTCTTGCTGACTATGATTCTGGGCTTGTGTTATGTATAATATCTTCTTCATCCAGCTATAATTAACTTTTTCATTTAAATTGACCTACCATGGCTTATTAATCGTGCTGGGAAACATGATTATTATAATTATCTTTTCGGTTCATATAATATGGTACACGTTGATGATGTGGCCCATGCCCATATCTTCCCTCTTGAGCATTAAAAGGGGGATAAATTTGTTCGTCTGTCAATAGTTAGGCTCTATTTGGTTTTTGGATGACTCTTCATTAGTTTTCTTCTAGTCATGGGCTGTCCCTCGAGAAGTCTCAAATTCTAAATTTTCACCACAAGCCCAATTGGATTGCAAACTGCAAATGAAATATGAACATACGGGCAGATAGCAAAATCAGAGACATCGTGGGAGTCTTTCGTATTGCTCGTTTCATGGACGTCAAGAGTAACAAGCCCCTGCAGAAATGGTGACTAAAGGAGCAGTACTAGATTAGAAGGATTACTAGGCAATTCCAAGTACGTACAACGAGCTGTCGGCTTCTGCTGCGAGAGCCATATTCAAGAAAGAACAAATAAAAGTATATGGAGAAGTTTATGACGAAAAGAATATGGAAATTGGAATGATCTGCATTTGTGGAGAAGCGATATAAGTCAAAATCATGGTAAAAAAGACAACTAGCACTAGAATTTTCCAAGAAAAATGATTTAGAAATCTACAGTCAAATTTGACAACTCCACAATTATAAGATTAAAAATTGGTCCTGTTTGGCATGTTCGTTTTAATGTCAATTAAAGCACATAGCCTAGGCGCTAAAATACGAAATTAGTATGGTTGGCGATGTAGAATTAGTGAACTTTTAGAATTACATGACCATAAAAATAATTTCAGTCTCAAAGCTTTTCTTTTTTCTACTTTCCCATACTGGTGTTAGTCATGAATTATTGAAATTTAACCCTAGTGAAATTCAAATCTTTTGATTAAATCGCTTAATCAAAGATGAGATATTAAACAAAACATATAGTGCTGAGAACACACAATTCAATGAAGATCAAACTTCATAATCCATGTAGAAAATTTTTATTTTTTATAAAATGCCTGACATTTGGACTTAAAAGTTTGTGATTTTTCATGTTTAATCGTTAAGTCAGTATAGACCCATGTAATTTTTTTCGTTTTGCTGAACTATTTCGTCATATATAATAATAATCGTCCATCGTCATTGCATACGCATCAAACGTTTCCTTTTAACAAGCTGCAGCCCTCGGAAAGAACACCTATCTAGAGGACTTGAGGACAAGAAAAGGATGGTGGTGACAGTGTCTCTCAAAACCTGGCTGAAAAGGGGAAAACTTGACGCCAAACTTGAAGTGCACGTGGGACATCCATCACTCACCAGAATGTAAAACCTAGTAAGAGGCTAAGGTCAAATTCAGTATTCATATCTCAAAACAAAACAATACTACTGAAGCAAGGATTGCAAATACCCATTCCTCTTAGAGAAAGAAAAGAGATATAGGGAGATGGAAGGAGATAAAGGAACTGTCTGCGTCACAGGAGGAACCGGCTACGTAGGCTCGTGGCTGATCAAAATGCTTCTTGAACAAGGTTACTCTGTTCATACTACTGTTAGAGCTGACCCAGGTAAGGACCAAAATATGGTTAATCAAAAAGATCTTTTTTTTTTTTTTGATGTGTAGATATTTATGGACAGTAACTGATATAAATTGAGGTTAAGAAAATTAATGTTAAACAAGTGAGCAGAGTTAGTTTTGGTAATTGGACTGATTGATGGTGAAATGACCAGGAAACAAGAGAGACCTTAGCTTCCTCACCAGCTTACCAGGTGCAGATAAAAAGCTTAAAATCTTCACGGCAGATCTTAGTTGTCCTGAGAGTTTCGATGCAGCCATTGAGGGATGCAAAGGAGTTTTCCACGTTGCCGCTCCCATTGATTTCCAAGTAGGCGAAACTGAGGCAGTAGTGACACAAAGGGCGATCAATGGAGCACTAGGCATCCTGAAGTCATGCTTAAGATCAAAAACAGTGAAGAGAGTCGTCTTCACTTCTAGTATTGCCGCAGTATATTTCAATAACAAGAATGTGGACATGATGGATGAGAGTTATTGGACTGATGTGGATTACCTCAGAGAACTTAACTTAAACGTAAGTTCCTATGCGATTTCCAAGACCTTGACAGAAAAAGCAGTTATTGAATTTGCAGCAGAACATGGATTGGATCTGTTGACGGTCATTCCTCCTATGGTTGTCGGTCCCTTCATTTGTCCAAAGATGCAGAATACAGTGCGCTTAGCACTGGCTCCGATCCTAGGTATAAGTTGAAGCTGTCTTTCTTACTTTCTATTGGTTAAATTATAATACTTAAAAAATGTTGTTTTTCTATGTAGAATTATTGATTCAACAGAGAGACATATTTACTAAAACAAATACTATGAACCTTTTGGGTCTGTTCAGGGGGTACGGATGACGATAGTCTTCTTCTCAATGCGGCGATGGTGCATATTGATGATTTGTCAAGGGCATTTATCTTCCTGCTAGAGCATCCTGATGCAAAAGGGAGATATAATTGTTCCTCTGACACAGTAACTATTGGAAAGATAGTTGAACTCCTTTCAGCTAATTATCCAGAATACCCTGTTATACAGTGAGTTTTTTTTTTTTTTTTTTCACTTGGCATTTTCTTAATTAATTTAGACTGATGTTATCTTAATCTTGGGATTAAAAGGAAATTTTGACAACACTTATAATTCATGGCAGTTCACTAGCAGAATTTGAAGGTACTAGAATGCCTGGTTTGTCATCAAAGAAACTCCTGGATTTGGGTTTCAAATTTAACTGTGGGGTTAAGGATATGCATGATGGAGCTATTAAGTGCTGCAAGGAAAAAGGGTTTCTCTGGTAAACATAATTATCGCTCTCTAGCTTGGTTTGAGATCATGGAACGAAATCTATAAGAACATATTTTTCAATTTGGTACATTGCAGAGACCAAGGGCTTGATGACTATATGTATGATTCAGTCAGCTGAGGTATATGAAGATGCAGTGCTTCCTTTGAAGATTTTAGGATTCTAAAGAAGGCAGCAACTCATTATTTTTGGTCTAATAACAGGAATATTAATGTATTTTCTGCTGGATTTTCATGTTTTGATGCTTGTGTTTTGCTGAAGTATATATGGACTTCATTATTGTAGTTTGGTTGAAGCCAAGTTTCTTTCTCAACGTTGAGCAATAAATAATTAAGAAAAATAAATTCGACGTCCAAGCCAATATATAACATTGATAAAAAAAAAAAGAATGCATACCTCCAAAGGTGAAGTTTAAACTATTTGGACTACGTTATGTACCCAACGTTTTGAACCAAATGCCTCAGACATAAATTGACCGTTGGATTCTATGCCAGTTTGTACGAGTAAAATATGAACGGATGACAATCAAACGAATGAAAAGTAAAAAGTCCAAGCAGTAGTATATAATTGGGAAAAAATAAGTCACATAACCTACCATTTGCGCTTAAGAATCTTAAAGGCATAATTATAATTATGAGAAATTATGGATGGTAGAGTTTTTAGATTTTACAAATAAGATTAAGAAAATAATGTGTATTTTTTAAATTATATTAAAACATAAAAAATTAAATAAAAATAAAAATAAAATATGTGTTAATTTTTTAATATTATTTATAAATTAAAAAATTTACATTACCAATATATTAAATATTAACTCGACTATGGAAAAAATTGTAATTTCTCATGGAGCAATCTTTAAAAACTTTTATATTAAGATTAGTATTTGATTTGCAGGGCATTGAAAATATAGAGAATTTTAATTTATTATATTTAAATACTATTTTTTATTCTGAAATTGCAATTAAGTATCATCAGTTTGCATAAATTTTACAATCTCCTCCCTTCCGTTTTTCTCGTTTTCTTAACCTGCAATGAATGGGTGAATTTTGGCAAACTAAAATAAGTGGGCAAACCAAAAAAATTTCCCAAACTTTAGGGTTCGATAAGTAAAAAAACAAAAACTACAAACGGGGCAAATTGATTACCGTTGGGAGCCTACTTGTAGCTCAAGCAACCTTCAAGATTAGAGCATGACCGTCGTTTTAACGCATCGTTCCTATTTTATAGAGCGAAATCCGGAATTTGTTTGAACATCAAAACCTTATGGCCATTCTCACACTGCGCCGTTTTTCTCTCATCTTACACAAACGCATGCACTTCTTCTCTTTCTATTTTCTTTCAAAATTCTTTTTTCTCAGATAAAAGAGTTTTCTTAATTATTATTTTCTAGATCTGGAAAATCGTCTTTTTTTGTTCGCAAAATCGACAAAATTATAATTTGCGATGTCGTTGTCGGATTCTGAGTCATCTTCTCATGGCAGTGAAAAAGAATACAAGGTCTTTCGTCAGTTCAGCCGCGATCGTATGTCTTCTGTGTTTAACTATTGTTCTTTTTGTTTCCTAAATTCTCTGTTTGTTCCACTTGATTTTCAAGTTCTTGAAACCTCAAGTTAGAATTACATCTTTCTGTCTCTGTCTCCGTGCGCCCTCATAAAGCGTGATCCCCCTACGATTTACGTGTCTGCATTTGGAGGATCTGTTGAGTGCAGTTTGGCTTATGATTTGATAACTAAGTTTCTTTGCAGGGCTATTGTATGAAATGCTTGGATGTTCGACATCTGGAGGTTCAAAATCGGCTTGGAAGGTTCGATTCTTTAAAATTCGTACATTAAATTTTTTTTTCATTTTCTTTTTTTTTTCCTTCAATTTTGAAGCCTTAATTCTTTCTCAGCAATTAAAAAGCTAGATGGTAGATACTGATCTAAAGTTTTTAGTCTGTTCGAGTATGCATAGCTCACAAAAGAATGAGACTAATTGGCTCCACAAGGGGTTGTTTAAGTCAGCTTTGATGGATTTGCGGCAGGTACTCATAATGGATAAGGTGACCGTCAAAGTCATGTCTCATTCGTGTAAAATGGCAGATATCACCGATCAAGGAGTTTCCTGTACGCTTATATAAATATTTGGGACAACATGAAGCAATATTTTGCATGTACATTGGGACTTACTAGAGATTTTTTTATATTGCAGTGGTGGAAGACCTTTTCAGGAGAAGGCAGCCATTACCCTCCATGGATGCTATATATTTCATCCAGCCATCAAAAGAAAAGTACATTGGCTTTTCTATTAAATTTCATTAAACTTTAACAAACATATTCCTTCATTGCTTTTTGACCTCTGCTTGTCTCTATAAAAATGCTATACCAATGTTTCAAAACTCTGAGCCCATTTTAACCCTATCTTTTGCTAGCATGCAGTGTTGTCATGTTCATATCCGATATGTCTGGAAGGGAGCCTTTATACAAAAAGTATGTGAATGATTTTCCAGAAGCTTTGCTTTATATGATTAATAATTTAGATCTTTTAGCTTGGAATTGTCTGATAATGTTCTCTGGTCTCCACCACCTTGTACCCCGTAAATTTTTTTCCAGGGCATTTGTATTTTTTAGTTCACCTGTTCCAAAGGAATTTGTTAATCACATCAAAAGCGACACAAGTGTGTTGCCTCGCATAGGTGCATTAAGAGAGGTCCAAATTTCTTTTAATATTAGTTCTTGCAACATTTACTTGTTCTTGGTGTTTTACTTAGATTTTTCCTTTTTGATGTATCATCTAATTTCTTGTTTGGTAATATGCAGATGAATTTGGAGTACTTTCCTATAGATAGTCAGGTAAGACAACATATTTATTCCTTCATTTTATGTTTCTATGCCTTTTTATCTTTTATAGCGGAATGTTAATAATCTATCTAGTTTTGGAATCAATTGTCTTTGCATTATCATGGTATTTAAAATCTTTATCTTTTATAAATGACACAGATGTCCCCTTCAATGCTAATTTCTTTATGGCTTATGTGCCATAAAAAATTACCCTTAAAGTTAGACATTACATGAACCAAATGATTGATTATTAAAGGTGTGTGCTAGGACTGGAATCATTTATGTTTTGTGCCCAAAAAGGGACAATGGTCTGGGAGGGTTGTGATCTTATAAATTGTGCCACTGACCTCACTTGTTTGGATTAGGGCCTGAGAGTTAGGTAATGGTCGGCTAATTATTGGAAAGTGTATTTAACATATGTTACCCACCAAGACCTTTTTGATGCAGGGTTTTATCACAGATCATGAAACAGCCTTGGAGGACCTCTTTAGTGAGGAAGCTGAGAAGTCTCGAAGATTTGAAGTTTGTTTGAACACAATGGCAACTCGAATTGCCACAGTTTTTGCCTCGTTGAAGGTATGAATTGTATAAGAAATCGGTAAGCTATGATACTGAAAAGTGAAAATATGGTTTGACTCAGTACGAAAGTATAACCTACACATGCTGTCATGTGCTGTAGGCTTAACAGTTTATTCTTTATATGCCTTGTAGGGTTAACAATTTATGGTGATTTTGCTTGTGAAAGCAATGCCTTCCTAATCAAATAGCATATACTATTAAATGATAACTTGTTTTGGATTTCTCAGGAGTTTCCAATTGTGCGATATCGTGCTGTCAAGTCACAAGATACATCTACAGCAACAACCCGCGATTTAATTCCTTCAAAACTTGCTGAAGCTGTTTGGAACTGTCTTTTGAAGTACAAATCTATTCCTAACTTTCCTCAGACTGAAACGTGTGAGCTGTTTATCTTGGATAGATCTGTTGATCAGGTTAGGCATAATTTCTTGTTGCGTGACTTTTATTTTTGAGTCATGTGAGGTTGATTTTCTTGAATGCACTTTGAATTTTTAGATTGCTCCTGTGATACATGAATGGACATATGATGCCATGTGCCATGATTTACTTGATATGGAAGGAAACAAATATATGCTAGAGGCAAGTCTTCTTGTTAAATTGCTTCCAAGATTTTTCATCTTTCGTTTTTTTTTTTTTTTTTTCAAAATTTGGTTTTATTCTCCTATAAGAGTAACTTGTTTTTTCCTAGTTTCCTAGCAAATCAGGTGGCCCACCAGAGAAAAAGGAGGTCCTTCTAGAAGATCATGATCCAGTTTGGCTAGAGCTTCGTCATGCACACATAGCAGATGTACGTCTCATGCACTTATATTCTCTTTTATCTGGAAAGAATAAAACTATAATGCACTTTTCCACAATTGACATGTTAGGCAAGTGAGCGCTTGCATGATAAGATGACCACCTTTAAATCAAGGAACAAAGCTGCACAGGTTCAAAGCTCAAGGTTAGTGGCTTCACTGCTGAACTTGGTAAAAGATAATAAATTATCTGTCTGACGTAGTTATAGCATATTACTTGATGTATGATGATTTTCAGTCTTAATCTTAAGCTTAGAAATTGGTAGGAAGTTTGTTTGTTATCAGAGAGTTACATCACTCTTAAATTTTATATAGGAGTCACAAGTAGTAGGCCCTGACACAAAGTACTTCTGCGGAATATAATGCAGTTTATTCTACAACTAGATAAGTAGACATATTCTTGGATTTTTTTTGGGTGGAAGGGTTTATCCAACTGGAAAATTTTAGATGCTTCCTTTAAAGGCTACTTACTTACATGAATGATTGAAAGTGAAAAATGTTTTTACTTTACATTGCATCTTATATCTCTCTAAATTGTTTATTCATGCAACCATTCCATAGACCCTTCCTCTTGAAGTTTGGTTCATTGCAGAGATGGTGGGGAATTATCTACGCGAGACATGCAGAAAATTGTGCAAGCTTTACCCCAATATAATGAAATAGTTGAAAAGCTCTCTCTGCATGTGGAGGTTTGGTTCTTGTTGAATGCCTGACTTTTTTAATTGTCACTTTCTGTTGAATTAAGCTCTCTCTCCTTTTTAATTGCCACTTTCTTGTTGAATGCAATAGTATATATTTGCTTCAGGGATGTATGTGTTCATTGAGAAATTTATAATGTTAACGAAGGAAATAAATATTGACTGAGTTTTAGCCACTACTCTTACAGGATCTGAGCACTACTTTCTTCATGTTTCAGGCTCTTGCTACCTTCACCTAATTGCTTAAATTTATAGGTTGAGTGATTCCTCAACAACATGTATGGTTTGATATCAAGAAAGACTTTAGCCTGATATACATTCTCAAGAATTTGACTTAGCAATTGTAGGAATTAAATACAATTTTAAGTTGCTTGCAGTTCTTGAAATGCAAAGTGGAGCTTTCTTTTTTGTCCTAATACAAGCATTGTTTGCAAGTTTGTGAATGCATGCAAGGAGAAGGTTAAAGTGCACATACAAATATGATGTTTCTGTTGATTATGTTGACTATTATTTCATTACAGATAGCTGGAACAATCAACAAACTTATCAGGGAAATGGGTCTTCGTGAGCTCGGACAACTAGAACAGGATCTTGTTTTTGGAGATGCTGGAGCAAAGGATGTCATCAACTTTCTGAGGACAAAGCAGGTAATGCCACGGATTAGTGATCAGATAACATTTTATATTGTACAATTGATCATTACTTTTTCTTTTTAAAATCTCATTACATTCAATATTTTAATCCACAGGATGCATCTTCCGAAAATAAGTTGCGTTTGCTGATGATTTATGCATCTGTCTATCCTGATAGATTTGAGGGCGATAAAGCTTCAAAGCTAATGCAGGTAACTACTGCATTCCTATTAGCTGGTTATATTATGAAGCAACTGATAGGCTTGTTCTTCTGATTATTTCTTGGGTAATAATACTTTGGGAATATTTTATTTAATTTTACTGTTTGCTCAATGCATCCAAAACTTAAGTAAGCCATAGCATAGTTCATTAGGATCAGGGTGGATAGACAAACTTTTTATGTTCCCTTTTTCAATTGCTTTGATCATGGTAGTTTTAGCATAAGCTAGCTTGCTTGGATACAAGCTTTTGATGAAACGTGGCGGATTGGATGCAACCTAGTTGTTCTACTGGACTTGTTTGTGATATGCACTATGATTAGAAGATTTTCATTAGTTTAGTTCCCCGTGTTTCGTAACAGACTGATAAATTCCTTATGTAGCTTTGTGCAGACAACTTGATGTTCAGTTTGGTTGATTCATAATTCAACCTAGTTGGTCTTCGGTTCTTCTTAGTCTGTTTCTCATTAGCACTATAGTTAAATGATTTTCAAGTTTTAATTCCATCTTTCCATAACAGACTTGATAGATTCTATATGTAGCTTTTTGGACAATTTGATATGTTCAGTTTGCTTACCAAAACAAATTAATGATTTTAATAAAGCTAGTCAAGTGAATTGTTCTTTGTTTTTTCTTTTTTTTTTTTGCCTATTTATTCATCAGTTGGCTAGATTATCGCCAGAGGATATGAAAGTTGTGAACAATATGCAATTACTTGGAGGATCATCAAAAATTAAAAAGGAAACCACTGGCTTCTCGCTCAAGTTTGATGGCCAAAAGGTAAGCCAAGTAGGTTTGAGATAACGACTGAGGTCAGAGTAGGATCCTGCATGCATCCCATGAGCCAATGAATATTCTTTTGATGCCAGAAAAAACAAGCAGAAAGAAAAGACCGAACTGGAGAGGAAGAAACTTGGCAACTATTTCGATTTTATCCCATGATAGAGGTATGATCTATCTTTTTATCAGTTTTTCCCAACATATGTTATTCATTTCTATGTCTTTCTGCATATTTTTTCTAGGTAAACCTTCGTGATTAATTTGTCCTCTCATTTCCAGCAACCAATCTCCCATTCTGCTGTTGACTTCGTAGAATATAATGTCTGATTAAAATACCTTCATTCCTCTAGTTGCATGCTTAGTTATGCATATTATACAAGCTTATAGGTGTATCTCTCAGATTTTTTATAAAATCAAATTTCTTACATGGAAATAACACCTTGTTATAGTTACCACTTCTAAACAGAACACGAACACATGAACGGATAGCATGTACAACGGAAAGATGTTTCCGTATTGCTTTATGCATATAATTATAATGAAATGTTATCAGCTGACGTGTTTAACATGACAGGAGCTTATAAATGCTTAGTTATGCATATTATACAAGCTTGTAGGTGTATCTCTCAGATTTTTTTATAAAATCAAATTTCTTACATGGAAATACACCTTGTTATAGGTACCCCTTCTAAACAGAACACGAACACATGAACGGATAGCATGTACAACGGAAAGATGTTTCCGTATTGCTTTATGCATATAATTATAATGAAATGTTATCAGCTGACTTGTTTAACATGACAGGAGCTTATTGAAAATCTTAGCAAAGGGGAGCTGTCAAAGAATGACTATGCATGTATAAATGAACCAAAGCCAACTGTTCAGGACAAATCCCAAAGTGGCTCGATGCGGGCAATACCTACTCCAGCTGCACCTACAGAAAAAAGGCCCGCTTATTCAAAGAGATCAAGACGAACAGCAATGTGGGCACGGCCTCACTCTTCTGATGATGGATATTCCAGGTAACCTTACAGTTCAAATCTCATCTTTTATACCGTGGTCCTGCCTGAAGTCTGCATAATAGTTGTGTTTACTTGGCTAGAATACATAATCCTCTGCGATTATCTAGTTCTCTTTGGTGCCTTTTGCAGTGATTCAGTACTGAAGAATGCAGCTGCTGATTTCAAGAGGATGGGACAGCGACTTTTTGTGTTTATCATTGGCGGGGCAACTCGATCTGAGGTAACTAAAATCGCTGCTGGATTTGTCTTGTTGGCTTTGTGCTAAGATTTTAATCTCACCTGGTTTATATTGAATGCCCTTTTGTGATTGAGGATTGTTTACCTGTTGGTTTCTGTTGCTACTCGCAGCTAAGAGTATGTCACAAGCTCACAGCAAAATTGAAGAGGGAAGTTGTCCTAGGTTCTTCTAGTTTCGATGATCCTCCACAATATATTACGGTAAAATAATTTAGCTCATACCATTTTTCTAACGATTAGATATTTTATAATGAATTTCGTGTTGACTAGAATAATTTTACTCTTTAGCACTTAAATGGAAAAACTCAGTACGAAACCTGTCACAAGAGGGTAATTCCATCATTTGTGATGTGGCAAGTATCTAAGAACATGCATACATACACCTCATCTGAGTTATCTTTTTTACTTCCTACACATTCTCATCTCCCCATTCTGTTCCTTGGGAGCATTTGTATGAGTCGTAAACGGAATTAAAGTGTTTACATCAAAAGATATTAAGGAAAAAAAAAGGGAACTATAAAAGGGTGCAGATTGCAGAATTGACGAGAAGTAAAAGTTGCTTTTAATGATTTTTTCTTAATGTTGCAGAAACTGAAGCTGCTGTCAGAAAAGGATCTCTCCAAGGGTGCCCCACAACCCAACTTTTGGTGAGATTGAATTCTGGCTCGTATGCTTTTGGCCATCGCCGGCCAGCTGAGTACCTCATTTTGGAGTTGATTAAACTCTGCCATTTTCGAGGAAGTAAGATTATACATTGAATGATGAGCAATTGAGCAATTGAGCAATTGAGTTGATTAAAAAGTGCATCGAAACGATTGAAAAGAAGGCCCATATCACGTCTCTACAGTCATGACCTCCTCTTGAAAATACTGTTTGATTCTCAGAGAGGCGACTCGTGTACTGTCTCCTTTTCAACTTGGAGTGGAGTCTTGTTGTTTGTTGTTCATCATGTTAAAGGAAATTTTATCACAAAATTTTGAGGGGACATTTGGATGCCCCAGGGGATTCGAATACCCTTTATGTATCAATTCATTATTTTCCTGAAGCATTTAAAATTTAAATGTTTAATTCAAGCATTGTGGAATTTATATGGAACGCCTCTATTTTCCATACTGTGATATTGACCTGTCTAGCTGGTAAACAATCCAACTGGGATAGATGATTCATGATTCATGGCCAATTGCACTGTAAGATTAAAGCGATAACCATCCGTTCTCAGTCCAAGTATTCGCTGGCAAATTATTTGCAGGCACAATGTGGCTGGGCCACACGCATTAACTTTGCGTTAAACAGTTGAACCCCCCTCCTATGTTGAAATGAAGTTCGGCTTGCTATAGTGCCGAATGCACGATTCTTGAAGGTATGGGGCTTTTCTTTATTGGAGGCACTGGGCTTTTCTGGTGACTGGAATTCTTTCTTCTTTTTTTTTTTTGTCTTTTGTTATTTGTTTTTAGTAAGGGATGGGCTTCTTTACAAGTGATCCCCCATTCTAAATAACTTATTCCCACGCCGAAGCAAGTAGTACTAAGTTTGACACCTCCCCCGCCATTTCCACTTCCTGAAGCTTCGATTCCTCCCACTGTGATCGCTATCTTTGCTATCCAAAAGAAAAAAAAAAAGAATAAGGCTGTTTTTTCTTCCTTCGCTAATGGATCCGATTCTTTCTTTAGCGGCGCTTTCAGTTGTTCTTGGGGCTGTGATCGCTTTCGTTTTCTTCAAAAGCTACCTTCTCAAACAAAGATCCGAAGTCCAGACCATTGCGAAACCCGAGCTTCATTCATATCCCAAAAAGCCATCGAAGCCTCCTCAGCCTATTTCCAAAAAGTCTCACTCTCGTGCCTCTGACAAGGTAATCCCCCTTCTTATTTCTCTTCTGTTGATTGGCGAAACAAAATTAGAAAGGGATCCAATTCAAAACTTGAAGTTTCATTTATTAACTTTACTTCCCTGATTTTTATATAAATATAAACGAGAAAAAAAAAAACTGAATTATCCAAAAGCGTTTGGCGTCTCAATCACTTTAGTTCCAGAGTTAGTTTTGCTTTTAGTAATTTATAATTTCTTCGGAATTTGGGATTTTTTTTAGTTATAATTTAATAATGCAAGGGTTTAGTCTGCTGATTTTAGCAGTTATTTTATAAAAAATATATATAAATTGACGAAAAAATGCTTTTACTTTCTTATTATGTAATATAGGATCAAAACAAGCGTCATCATCCATTGGATTTGAATACTCTTAAAGGTCATGCGGATTCGGTCACAGGGCTGTGTTTCTCCTCTGATGGTCGTAATCTGGCAACAGGTAATTGAGTCTTATTTTCTCCTCTAATGATTCTTTTTTTTTTAATACTAATAATTTATTTATTTATATTAATGGGATGTTTCATTCTTAAATTGGTTTCTCATGTTTCTGCACAGCTTGCGCTGATGGAGTGGTGAGGGTGTATAAGCTGGAGGATGCTTCAAGTAAAAGTTTCAAGTACGAATTGGAAGTACTTTTGCTATAGTGATGACCTTAGGAAAGATCTTGTGTGAATTTTTTTTTTTTTTTTTGCTTGCATCTTAATCACATTTTGCGTGACTATTGTGCAGGTTTTTAAGAATTAGTCTGCCTGCTGGAGGTCATCCAATAGCTGTTGCATTTTCTGATGATGCTTCTTCCGTCGTTGTGGCTTCTCAGAGTCTGACTGGTTGTTCCTTGTATATGTATGGAGAAGAAAAACCAAAAACTGCCAATGAATCCAAGCAGCAGACAAAGCTTCCTCTTCCACAAATTAAGTGGGAACACCACAAAATCCATGAGAAACAAGCAATCCTGACTTTAACTGGATCTACTGCAAGTTATGGAACTGCAGATGGGAGTACCATTATTGCCTCTTGTTCAGAAGGTATGTGGTGACACTCTCCATATTAGATAATATATGTATTATATATATTACAAAAAATGTTGCAACTGTTAATTTGGATATAATATAATTAACTCTTTGTTACTTCACAGGCACTGATATCATACTTTGGCATGGAAGAACTGGGAAAATTGTAGGGCATGTTGACACTAATCAGTTAAAAAATACCATGGCTACTATATCACCAAATGGCCGTTTTCTTGCTGCTGCAGCCTTTACAGCGGATGTAAAGGTGGAGATCTCTAAATTCGCTTTTATTTGTAACATAGTATCAAGACTATGATCGAAATGTGTAAATTCTAAAGTTTACATCTGAATACTTTAAGTTGTTTATCACCAACTTTTTGCCGAACTCTTGGATTAAGATTGTGTCATATCGAACATTATGAGATTCACATAATCACACAGTGCATTATAGAATTCAGTTGCACATTTATGTGTTGGCAGATATTGGATATTAATCACTACTTGGTGGAAATGACCATACTAGTTTCTTTCAATTTACACTACACAGATAGTCAGGGCATGAATGTGCTGCATATAGAACTGAATTGAGATTTCCCCCTTCTATATGTATATATATATATTTTTTTTTCTTTTTCTGGAATATTTGGTTCATGATTGTCATTTATATGCAAACTGAAATTTAACATGTTACTAGGTGCAGTAAAGCATTAATTCATTCTGCATGTTATCTTACAAGTTCATTAGCGTGCTAAGTTTTAATATTTGCTTTGTCAGGTGTGGGAGATTGTATATTCCAAGGATGGTTCAGTCAAGGAGGTTTCAAAGGTTATGCAGCTTAAAGGGCACAAGGCATGTGATTTCACCCATAGTCCTAAAGCTTATTTGCTATATTTCATTGTGTTCATATTGTTCAATTACATCGATTATATCATGTTACAAATTGTGATTTTCACTGTTAGAGGTTTTCAGAAAATTTATGACAATTTATATTGGAGAATGAGTGCCAAATGGTTTGACTTTACAGTCTTCTGTTTATGGTACTTAATATTGATGAAAACTCCTGCTCTTGTTTGAATTATTTTATCCAAATAGAGAATGATTTTTAACTTGTTCGGACTGTTATTGATTAATGCATCTCTTGTCTGTTTCCTTTTTGTGTCATATTCGTAATTAATAGCTTTATGACTTGCCTTGAAATTGCTGTTTGTTTCTAACCTCTCCAATTTTGTTTCTTTTTCTTAAATGTCCAGAGTGCAGTGACTTGGTTATGCTTTTCTCCGAACTCAGAGCAAATTATTACAGCATCCAAGGATGGTTCAATAAGAATTTGGAACATCAATGGTCTGTGTGCACCCCTTTGTCTTTCTCCCTCCTCTTACACACTCATGCTCATACTCTTCCAATGAAAAAAAATAAATTTACGAAGGTTGTTTTCTTTTGCACCTCTGACCTCTTTCCCTTCCAAGCCTAACACTACAAAGAGGAAAAGAGGCAGGGGTGGGAGGTGGAAGAAATACTCCATAAATTTGAAACACATGACTGATGTAAAAACTCTAAATGATGAGCTAATTAACAAATTTTTATGCCTAAGGTGAGCTACTTGGGTAGCTATATCTGTTTCTTGTATTGGAAGTTAGTATTTTGTGCCTGTTGACTGTTGTAAGTGCTTTTTTGAAGTTCGTTACCATCTTGATGAGGATCCAAAAACTCTGAAGGTGTTTCCGATACCACTTCATGATTCAAGTGGTTCTTCTTTGCACTATGATCGTCTCAGTTTATCCCCTGATGGAAAGATACTGGCAACAACTCATGGTTCAACATTGCAGTGGCTATGCATGGAAACAGGAAAGGTTTTGGATACAGCTGAGAATGCCCATGATGGTACATCCCAAGCACTAAATTAATAGATTGTTTTATTGTTTTTGGCCTATATACATGCCATTTTCTTACATACAAATACATAGAAATGATGTCATGCCCAAGTACTTAGGTTATTGGCTTCAAATTATTAAGCACCGATGATTAATGATTTTCTTACTCCTGATGCTCTATGGTGACTTTCACTTTTCTTTTTTCACAACTATTTTGTATGATTGATTGATAATAATATCGAAATGCTATTTGTAATTTTGGCATTGACCTCAGTTTTATGCTGCAGGTGATATTACGTGGATTTCATGGTCACCTAAGACTCTACCACTAGGTAAAACTTATTTTCCGCTTGTGGAAGTTATCTCCAGTCACTTGTATTTCTTACAATCACATTGTTTTATAGGAAATGAACAAGTGGTGGTTCTGGCTACGGCAAGTGTTGACAAGAAAGTGAAATTGTGGGTAGCACCATCAGTAAATTCTTCATGAGCAAATCTTTACCTTCACCGTCAAGGATTTCATGGAGCCCAGACATAATTGTGGATGCTCTTTAGATCTGCTCAACAGTCCTAACTTCAATAGTTAAGGTTAAAACAACTTGATGAGAGAACATGGGCAGCTCTTCTTCTGGAAAGGTACAATGCTTGTAGGCATGGTCATTTGAGCAGATAAGAGGAATCTTACATATATTGCTTTAAGGGTGTATTTGGGATTGCTTTTTTTTTTTTTCTAAAAACAATTTTCAACAAACTATATGAGAATTCAGTCTTGGAATGACAGCGGCTGTTCTGACTTAAAAAAGTGTTCCGCAGAGATGTCCTTTGTATTTCCGTTATTATGTTCGCTGCAAACAGAGTAAGAACGAGATAAACATGCCATTCCAAAGTGCAAACCAATCTGTACTTGCGGATTATCTTCCCGAGGGCTTGCTTGTGATGGCAAAATCCTTGCTTAGTTTTAGTTAAGTGAAAAATTAATGCATTATTATAAAAAAAAGCTAAACAGAATCAAAAGTACATGTTAATTTAATTTTATAATAATATTTATGATATCATACAACCCCATTAGTTCCGTATGTGAAAAGTGAAGCAAAATTGCTATGACATTGACCTCCATCTGTCCAGCATAGTGGTGATAGTCATGGTACTCCGCACCTACATAAAATGGTATGTCTTTGGTCGTCTTAATCCATGCAAATTCATAGCTGCTTTTATGCACATTAATTAATTATTGCTCAATGCCAACAAATAAAAAAGGAATTTAAGCTCATATGCGTTTACCCATTGCGTGCCTGAATGGCCTCCACAAGGAGAAAAATGGTCAAAGCCAGAGTGTGATCATGTGGCAAGGAACCATAGCTGGGCCAAGAGATGCTGGAATTTTTAGCCCAGTGGGTGTAAAGTGCTGCAAATCCAAATAAGGCATTCTATTCATGGTGCACAGAGGATTTTTTGTAGGCCCATTTACTATGGAGCAGCAGCTGATGAAGCCAGTAGCTGGAGTAATCCTCAATAAGAAGGTAAACCAACTATTGGCTTAAAATCTCCTGCTTAGGCCTGTAGCTTAATAGCAGGGAAGCAAAGCAATTGAAGAGGACCCAATACAAAAATCAACATCTTCATAGCATGTTTATAACATTTAAACATATCGGAGAATGATGTTTTGATATTTGGTTGAATCTTGAACTTGGCCATTTTCTTTGACTGGTTCAGCTCCATGAACGTACAGGGGAGAGGAACCAAGGTGGAGACCAAGATTTCGAAAAGACAATTATGACTGTAAAGAAGGTCAGACTTCTCAGCTGAATAATTGTACCATAGTTTCCCTTCCAAGGTAAGATTTCTTCCTGCACCCGACGTTGCTTCTTCAAGGGAATGGTATTGCAGCATTTTTTTTTTCTTTCTGACTATTTTTAACTACTCTACCATTACAAATACATCTACATATATGTAGATTCTAGCAAGAAATGTCATATATAGTGAGAGGAAGAGAGACAAGGATTGAAGGAGGGGAATGGACTGCTTTCAAGTTATATCATTGGGAAATAATACTTTATAGTAGTTTATTATACTTCCATGTGCAAAGAAAGACCAGCATGATGTAAAACAGAAGAAATAAGCTAATCCTCTACATTTTACTTATTCTATAATTGAAGTTCGAAACAAACAAACAAAGATGCTTTTTCTTTTGTTCTATAATTGAAGATCGAAACCAATGGCACTTCCATTTTGTTCGCCACCAATTCTTCAAATGTGTTTCAACTGCATGGACATTAAATTAGAAAAAAAAAAAGTAATATTAATGTGCCAAGTTGATTTTTTTTTAACAGTAAGAAATTCTTAAATTTCGTCTAATATATTCTTTTTTTTTTATAAATCCATTTAGATAAGTTTATTTATATTTGACATAACGAATTTATGAAAAACTATTTTTTCATAATCTCCCAATAAATTTAAATTCTAAACAATCAAAAGAGGAGCAAACTCTCTTATCAATTAAGACAATATCCGAGAGAAGTTATGTTAATTTACCAGCAATATGTATTAATTAATTAGTCAAACCCCTTGTTATTCATCAACTTAGACTTTCAATTAAACTAAGTTTGGTTGCAAGGGCGAAAAATGCATATCGTGTTAAGGAATACCTTGTTAAGGGCTTGCTCGTGGTGACGGTAACCCTGCTTAATTAAGATAAGGAACTTATTAGTAAAAAGAACTCATCAAATTATGCATTTCCGCAAGCTTTCAATATGCTAATTGTAGACCTAAAATTAATTAGATGCTAATTAATTGTATACTAACCCTGTTAGTTCCGTAAATAAAATCACAGTAGGTAAAAACCGAAGCAAAATTGCTGTGACTTTGTCCCCCAACGTAGTGGTGATAATCATGGTACGCAGCGCCTACATAAAATGGTATAAATTTGGTTGGACTCCATGGAAACTCATACCTGCAATTGCCCAAATATTTTTTTTATACAGTATATTACAGTCTGGGGATAACTAAGAAAAATAATCGTAAATATTAAAATTTAAATTTTAAACTTATTAACTGTTACGATGATTATATGAACTGATTGAATTAAATTTTAAATTAATTTACTCGCTTTGAATGTGAATAGCTCGAGATTGCATAAAATGATCCAAAGGCAAAGAGTGATGATATGACATGGAATTATCAGTGGACCAAGAAATGTTGGAATGCCCAGAATCAGAATTTCTGCCCAATGGGCGTAAGGAGCTGCAAATCCAATCGGAGCACTGTATTCATGGTGCTTATAATGAATTTTTTCGTAACCCCATTTGCTGTGGAGCAGCCGGTGAAGCCAGTAATTGGTGTAGTCCTCAATAATAAAGTAAACGACCAATTGACTCGAAATCTCCCACACTGATGGCAATGGCAAACTTGTGTGGATTCCAACCCCCTGCGATTCCACACCCAAATTCAAACACATAAAAAGATATAAAGGAACAATGAAATACCACAAAAAGCTTATTTGAATGAGTAGCTGTTTTTAATTTACCATATATATTATATACCTTAACGATAGGGAATGAAACGATTTGAAAAGGACCCACAACAACAATAAACTTCTTCATAACATCTATGTAACATTTAAACATGTTGGAGAATGATATTTTGATCTTGGTTTGAACCTTGAACTTGGCCATGAACTCTGACTGACTGAGCTCGATGAACGCATAGGGGAGAGGGGCTAAGGAGAACACCAAGCACGAGAATAATATATTATGACTGTAAAGAAGGAAGTCTGATTTGCGAGCCGAATAATTGTACCAAAGTTTCTCAGCCAATGTTAGATTTCTTCCCAGAGCCAACGCTGCTTCTTCAAGGGTTTGATATGGTAGCATTTTTCGCTTTTGGCTTCTTAATTTCTAATGATCAATACGTCTGGTATAGTACTCACGCAGATTTTAGAGTATGGACAGGAAAATTTGCATATATAGCGTAAGAAACAATGGAAGTAGGCTCAAAAAGTCAATTATTGATTAGAGATTTAGAAAGGTTAATTAATTCTCCTTCATTTCATGTGATCGAAAACTTTGAAATTAAGTTTTACTCTATTCATTAATTAGGATAGATTTTGGGAATTAAGGAAATGAGGCAATCAAAAACACAAATAACAGGATAATTCATAATTTAGAAATACAGTTTCTAATTCTATTATTTAAATTACTAAAGAACAAATGTATCGTACTACAACTATGGAAACAAGTTGATGAGATATTGCTTGAATCATGGTCATTTAGGGGGGTTTTGGATGCTTTGAAAATAAAGTTTTTAATGTTCTACAACAATGACTTTCAAGTTTTAATGTTTTATAACAGTTTCTTTAAAGAAATAAGTATAGTTTACGGAACAGAAGGCATTTTCCATACTCTACTAGAGTGCTACCCAGCCTAGTCTCGCGGCCTAAAACTTTCACAATGGGACGGACCTTCCTTGTCGGAATGGAACACGGATTTTGATTAAAAAAAAAAGGGTACCATTTAGAAATTATGATTCTATTTGATTGAGATCAAAGTTTTCATAGAATTTTAAGAGTACTAGATTTCTCTTGCCAATGCTAATTAAAGAAATATGCTTTCAAGATACTAATTGTATAAACTGATATGGTAGAATTTTATAAGTATTTGTCAATCATCATATATGTAAGTTAATATAATTAACGAAATTAGAATTTGGATTGACACAATTTATTATTTAAAAATTTAAGATACAATATTTTATTATTTTAAATACCAATTTATATGTTTTTCCTAAATTCATATGCTAAATATTTAATTAACTATTCAGTGTAACTAATTATGCCATAGAACTTACGGCACAATAACTTCTTAGCACTAATATAATAGAGCATAAAATTGGCACTTAGATGTGATAAATCAAAACCTAAGAAAAATTTAAGATGGGGATAAAAGAGAAAGACTACTTTACCATGTCAATCTTAAACCTTTCTATGGCCACTGCCACACATACATCAGCCTGTAAGTGACAAATTCCATATTGTTGATAATGGAATAAAAAGAAGGGGAAGAATAACAGTAAAAATAAAGCATCAAAACTAAAGCCAAATGGTCATGAACTCACAGAGTACAAGTGAAAAGATTACAACGTTGGATAAAAGAAATATGTTAGGGAGAAATTAAAAGAACTGTTGGAATAACTTCCAAGAACCAAGAAGAAACAACTTATAGTAATAAAAAATCAGCATTTGTAGCATGTAAAAATGTTGGGTCTGAAGCAATAAATACAAGAACGTAGAGGCAATATATTACAATAAATTCACAGTAATAGATAATAATAAATAATATAGAAAAAAATATTACATACTAAGATTTATGTGAAAAATCTTTCAGTATAAAGGAAAAAAATTACGGACCACCGAAAAAATCTTTATTATCAAGTAATGGATATACAAAGTTCTTCTCTAATTAAAACTAAAGTTAATCAACAAGTAGATGACGATTAGAGAAATCTCACTAAATGGGTGATTTAATAAATACACCTTAGATTTTTTCCTATAGAGCTCCAAACCCAATCTTCATCATTTAGAATGTAGAACTCTAAATCATAAACCTGCTGATAAAATTTCAGCTTAATTGGACCACGGATCGACTTTCATTCAACCAACTCTCCCTTCTCTCTTTTCTTTCTATTTTTCCTGGCTTTTCTTTTTTCTCTTAATTTCTGCGCCACCACCTTCTGTTTCTTTATTACATAGCCCTCATTTTATTGTTTAAGGCTTTATATAAGTAGGGCTCTCCTAAGTAAAAAAAAAAAAAAAGGCTTTAAACCTTTTCATTGGTCAAAACCAATGGGGTTAGACCCCACTTTTCTTAACAATCTCCCTCTTCAGTCATATTAGGAGAAGATTCATCACCATAGTAATTTTATTTAGAACTTAACTTGGTCAAAGAACCTATTTCCGTCAAGTTACTGTAGAGCTCAAATTTTTCCTTGTGAAGTGTCTTAGTCAATATATCTATTATATTCTTATCGGTATGAATTTTTTTTAATAGTATTTACTGCTCCTTAATCACCGAACATAACCAGTGATATCTAATATCAATGTGCTTCATTTTAGCATGGTACATAACATTATTACTCAAATCTAAAATATTCTGGCTATCATAAAATATCACATACTCTTTCTGATTCAACCCCAATTCAAGAAGAAAATATTTCATCTAAAGTATTTTTTGACCTACTTTGATTGCTGCAATATACTCAAACATTTGTAGTTGACAAGGTAATACACTTCTGTAACTTAAACTACTAAGAAACAGCTCATCTTGCAAAAATGAACAAATACCCTGAAATAGATTTTCTATCATCAAGAACACCTGTCATATTAGCATCAGTAAACCATTATAGAATTGGTTGTGAAACTCTATAACTCAAGCATATTTTTTAAGTGCCCTTCAAATATATGAAAATCCATTTCACTGCTTTTTAGTAAACTTTTTTTGGATTAAAAAAAATCTACTCACTATACCAACTACATGAGTAATGTCAGGTTATGTGCAAACCATAAAATGCATTAAAGAACCAATTAGAAGAGAATAAAAAATACTAGACATAACTAGTTGCTATTTCTTAATCACCGAATAAGATTTCTTACTTAAATGAAAATGGTTGGTAAGTGGACTGCTAACTGATTTAGCATATTGCATGTTGAATTTATGAAACACCCGTTCAACATATTTTTTCTGTGATAACCATAGCTTTTTAGCTCTTCTATTTCAGATGATATCCATACCGATGATCTATTTTGCTGGACCTAAATATTTCATATCAAAGGACTTAGATAATTATTTTTTCAACCTGTGAATCATACCAACATTTTATCTCAAAATCAACATATTATCAACATATAATAAGAGAATAATGAAGTTACCATCAGAGAATTTTCTATTATACACATAAGGATCCACTGCGTTTTTTTATAGCTATGGCTCACTATAAAAGAATCAAATTTTTTGTACCACTGTCACGAAGCTTGTTTCAAGCCATACAAATTTTTTTTTAGTTTGCAAGCTAAGTGTTCTTTACCTATCACTTTAAAACCCTTAAACTGCTTCATATAAATATCTTCATACAAGTCACCATATAAAAATACAATTTTGATATCAAGTTACTCAAGCTCAAAATTCAAACTAGCTATTAATCTTAACACCACTCGAATGAAACTCATCTTCATAATTGAAGAAAAGATCTCATCAAAATCGATGCCTGATTTTAAAAAAAAATCTTTTATTACTAATCAAGCTTGTACCTCACTAATTTGTCACCATCTTTTTTCAACTTAAACACTTATTTATTCTTCAATAACCTTTTCTCTTTCGAAAGTTTAACAAGATCGTATGTACCATTTTTTTGTAATAACCTTATTTTTTTATTACTTTTAATTAATGCTCTCTATCTGGAGTAGCTTGCACATTTTGAAAGCTCTCCAGCTCCCTCTTGCTGGTAACTAAAATAAAATCTAAACTTAGATCTTTGATAGATGGCCTGTGCTATTTAGTAAATCTCTTAGGTTGAGACTATACATCACTTGATGCTGAGGGTAGTTCATCTTACTCAACATTCTTTAATGGAGAGGACTGCTCACCCTACTCAATATTCTCAGGTAGAGATGATTGCTCCTTACTCAAAACTGATTGCATCTAGCTTATTACTAATTGTGGCTGGTTCATTCATATCTTTAAATTTTATTTCTTGCTTATTTTCACAATCTATGACTCTTTCCTTTGAAACCCTTGTCGATGTTAAAACATTATATTTAATAGTAACTCATGTAGTCTTCTCATTTTTTTTAAGGTCTGTTATGATTTCAATTCATGAAAAATCACATCTCTACTTCTGACTGTCTTTCTCTTTACTGGATCTCATACTCTATAGTCAAATTCTTTATCACCATATCCTACAAATACACATTTTGTGGCTTTACTATCAAGTTTTGACTTTTACTTTTTTAGCACATGCATAACACCTAAAAACTTTTAAATGAGAATATGAAGTATTTTTCTTTGTCTACATTATTTCTGAAATGTCAAAGCCCAAAAAAATTGATGGTGATCTGTTAAGCAAATAATAATTTGTATTGACTGCTTCACCCTAAAATGACTTTGGTAATTTTGTCATCTTTAGCATATATCTGACTTTTTCTATAATGGTGTAGTTTATCCTTTCAGCTACACCATTATGCTGTGATGTTCTAGGTTTTATCATCTCATGCCTGATCTCATGTTTTGAATAATACTTTTTAAAGTCTTTATATGTGTATTTTTCATCATTATCAGTCTGAATATACTTCAAAGACAGCCTTATCATCTTTTTCACTATGGTATGAAATTTTTAAAAATACTACAATACTTGACTTTTATTTTTCAACATATACACATAAGTCTTATGTGAAACATTATCAATAAAAGTAATAAAATACTTGCTACCACCCAATGACTTAACCTCAATAAGATCACAATCATCAGAATGAATCGATTCTAATTTGTTTTCTTTTCTTTGAAAACTCTTAAGAAAAAAAATTCTGCGATACTTGTCAAACAAACAATGATCATATAAATAAAGAGATATACTTTTAGTCAAGGGAATGAGAGACTATCTTGTCAAAACTTGTAACTTTTTCTCACTTATGTGTGCCAACCTCTTATGCCATAAGTTTGATAAAACATCATCCTTAACGGCATTTATCTAGTTACCATTCAATTGTATTCATGTCTTATATATTATGTAGCATAGTTTTTCTCTTGCAACTACCATAAATCTTTTGAGAAGTTTCTATTACCCATTCTGTTATCGACTCTCATATCTTTCTTTATTAAAGATATTAATAGTAAGCAAGTTCATTTTTATATCTGAAATATGTCTAACATCCATCAAAGTGAACATACAACCCATACTAGTTTGTACAATAATATCATCACTCTCAACAATTTACGACACACTCTTGTTTTTCATTTTGGTGCAACCAAAGTCTCATACTTTATAAATTGTAAACAACTCCCTCTTAAGAACACAATGATATGTCATTCTTGTGTCAACTATCTACTCAATACCAAGATCACCAACATGATTACAATCACAATGTATACAAATCAAAGTAACTAAATTACTATTTGAATTCACTGCTGTAACATTGCCATCATCTGAACTCTTATCTTTTTCAACTTTCCACTTTTACTTTAAGATTTTGCAATATCACTTTAGATGACCTGTTTTATTACAATGGAAACACTTCACTTTATCTCTGAACTTAGATCTATGTTTAGACTTACTACAATTTTTTGAGTTTTGACATCTGTTGATGTTTTTACCTTTATTCTTTGTGACCAAAGCTTGATTCCCTCTAAAACTTTTCTCTTTGCTTCATCATTAAGCATACTATCTTTTATTATCTCTAATGTCACCTTATAATCAAAAGCTGAATTAAGAACGATCATAACTAGAGTATTTCAACTGTCTAGTAATAAACCCAAAAGAAACAACGCCTTTATTTTATCATCCATCTTAAGCTCCATAGTAGTCATTCAATTAAATATATCTTGAAAATCACTGAAGTGCTTTGTAATCAATCGTCCATCCTTGTACTATAAAGTTGTAAGCTTTTTAACAAGCATAATTTTATTCATATATATTTTTCTCTCATATAATGCTGTCATTTTTTTAAACAGTATAAATATCTGTATCCTGCGTTAAATGATGAAACACGCTAATATTAATCCTTTTTTTTATTATAGCCAACGTCTTTCTATTTAACTTTTTCTAGCTTTCATATTTTATATCTGCTAGTTTAATTGAATCACCTAATATCGATTCATACAAATCTTTACAATATAAATGATCTCCTACCATAGACTTTCAAATTGAATAATTTGATGCTATCAATTTTATTGTGAAACTTATATCACCTTTCATGATTTCAAACATAATTTACTTTTGCCTTGGGCTGTTTCTGTATTAATGTCTCAAAATAACCCTTACTCTGATACCATTTGTTGGGCCTGAAACTATAAACATAATAACGCAGAAGCAATATAACGTAATAAACTTACAGTAATATACAACAATCAATAATCAACAACGTAAAAAAAATAAAGCACACCAAAATTTACGTGAAAAAAGCTTTTAGTGCAGAGGAAAAAAATTACGAATCATCAGAAAAATCTTCACTATCAAATAATGGATATACAAAGTTCTTCTCTAGCTAAAACTAGAGTTAATCGACAACTAAAAAAATAATTGAAAAAATTTTATCAAATAGATAACTTAACAAATACACCATTAATTTATTCTTAGAGAGCTTCAAACTTGATCTTCATAATTTAGAATGTAAAATTTTAAATCATAAACCTGTTGATAAAATTTTAACTTAATTAAACCATTGATTAACTTCCATTCAATCAACTCTCTTTTTTCTCTATTTTTCTTGACTTTTTTTTTATCCTGTTTTTAGCACCACCACTTTCTCTCTATTATACATCTCTCCTTTTATTGTTTAAAATTTTATATAAGTACGGCTCTATTAGGTCATTGACAACAAAAAAAAGGCTTTAGACCTTTTAATTGGTCAAAACCAATGGTATTGGATCCTACTCTTCCTAACTAAAAATTCATCAAGGACTAAGCCAAGATGAATATTTGTCTTGATGAACTAATTTTCATGGAGGTTTTAACATATAATCAGGTTTGCAAATTTCTATATAACTTGTTTCTGTAGAATGGTAAATTCATCAAGGACAGAAACAACTGTAAAATGTACCACGTATACTTCTTCTCCAGTGGCATATTTGCCAACAAAATCTTTCAGCGTTGCAATATTAAGTCAATGTTTTGCAAACTTCAATTATTAATTAGATGTTGCATGTATATAATATGAAACTATGGCTTCAAGAGCCCCAGCCCATACACAACCACGCATACACAAATGAAACCATCATGGTTCTGCATTGCAATGTTAAGAATTAGACAAAAGATGACAACATTTAAAATAAAACAACAGAAGAAATAATAAGGATATAAAGGAGCAATTAATCTGATCACAAACAAGAACACATACCAAGGAAACCTTTTTCTATATTAGTTGGAGTAACCAGAAGTTGTTCTTGTGGGCTAACCTTTTCCTCAAGATATTTCTAGGGAAAATGGAGGGTAACACATTGGATTCGAGTTTAAATACATCAGCAACAATGAATCTATACATAACAGAATATACCAGAATTGACAGCATATGAAGAGGCTGTTTGCTAGAGCTGAAAATGCTGGCAACCTGTGATGAATAAGCCTAAAACCTAAACGGAAAAGGGCATAGGTTAATATAAGCCATAAAGATGAATATTGAAAAGCAGTTAGCGAACAAAAGACTGACTAAGAACTTGTGTGCACAGCTTATTTACAGGCTTCTCTTTCTTCTAGCTGCCCGGGGTCAGTAGGTTTTGCCAAATTACATAATGGTCCCTTAGGATTTTAATTTTTTTCCCACTCAAATGAACATTGTTACGTCATTCAGGTTAGGCCAGTGCAAGGTAAAACCTCAAAATACTAGCCCACGCCTGAACCTAAAATTTTTACCAGGCCCAATAACTTTTATCAAAGCAGCCCGCTATACCATGGAGTGTATGATAGAAACGGCGTCGTTGAATAGCAAGGTCAGTGGCGTTCTGGCTGCAGCTGCTCCATAAAAATGCTAAACTAGCCGTCTAGCAACCAGGAAGCCAGTGAACGAGCGACCCAGACAGAGACAGTAAGGGATGGCATCAATGGCTTCACCAAGCATTTACTCTTACTACCGCAACAAATACAAAAACAAAGCTCACACCCACAAAATCTCCACTGTTCCACGAATCGTTCTTTCTCAATCCCAGCAGCCCGACGATAAACCCGACCACCAAATTCCTAGAAGGCAAGTTCTTTCTCGGTGTAAATAATTAAAATATTCATCATAATTCGTGTCTACTTCAAACTTAGAATTGAAGCTGAAATTTTCTGTGATTTTGAAGGGAGATAATATTGAGGAGCAGCGAATTAGCTGTTATTGGGGCCATCTTCAGTTTCAGGTTTTTGTGTCCACGCCTTCTTTTCCTTATCACCATTTCTAATAATCGTTGATTTTGGGATCTTAAAATGGCTAACAAAGTAGTGAATAGTTATACAGTGGGAAGAAGCCAGAATATCTGGGAGTGCAGAAAAATCAGCCTGCTCTTGCGCTTTGCCCTGCTACCAAGAATTGTATATCAACTTCTGAGAATGTCAGCGATCCCATCCACTACGCTCCTCCATGGTAAAGCTCTCTCCATCTTCCTTCTTTTTCCCCTTTTTTGTTTTTGGTCAAAATTGATGCGCTTGTTTTGGTCGGTAAACCGCAACGCATGATAAATGCGCACCGACTTTTTTTCATATATTCGTAAAAAAAAAATGTGATGCACATTGATTTTTTAAAACAGGAACTACAACGGAGGGCGTAATAGGAAAAAGCCTGTGACTCGAGAAGTGGCAATGGAAGAGCTTCTTCAAGTGGTATAATTTCTAGCTGATTATTAGAATTACTTTTGTACTCCATGGCAGTCAATGCTCAAATTCAATGTAAATGGCGGAGTCTGAAAATCTCTACCGCATATTGCAGATAAAATCAACGAAACCAGACAAATATACTCCCAAAATTGTGGAGATGAAAGACGATTATGTGCTTGTGGAATATGAAAGTCCTATATTAGGGGTAAGTTTAACTTCTTCAACACCAAACATAACGAGCACGACATGCAAATTGGGTTAACTGATTTCTTTTTCTGGTCCACCAGTTTGTGGATGATGTCGAGTTCTGGTTTCCACCGGGTAAGAATTCTATCGTGGAGTACCGATCAGCATCAAGGATTGGAAACTTCGATTTTGATGTCAACAGGAAAAGAATCAAGGTAAAGGTCTCATGAATCTCTGATCTAAGGCAAGTTTAGTCGCAAATTAACAAATAACACTACCATGTTTTCCTTACAGGCATTGCGACTGGGGTTAGAAAAGAAAGGATGGGCATCTGAGGAAACGTTTTGAAGGGCCTCCATGTTTATTTAACCGATCAGGGAAAACAACATTGTACTCTTCGATTTTTGTTTCACAGGACAGATTACTCATCACAGGATTGACCCGTGGAATAGCAGAGTCTGAAGCTTTTGTAATAAATCATAGATGCAAGATTTATTTCATTTTTGTTTGCATAATATAAAGAGATCTCACACTGTATCAACAGACCAATTGCATTACTGTGCTCTTGCAACAATTGGGTTTTGGACAGCATTTCATTATCAATTTGCCAAACATAATCAAAAGAGTCATGCTTCATGCCATTGCCATCCATGAAACGTTATCCAAGGTTTTTTTTGCTTAACAGCAGATAGATAAGTCATGATAAAATCAACTGCATGATTTAAGTACCACCACAGTCAGAATACAAAAAAATAGTTCAATACTAGCAGCAGCCACATTAATACGAGAACCATGGTAAAAACACAACTGACCATTCCATTAATTCAAGTATTCCACTTCTGCAAAAGCTCTAACCAAGTTCAGAGTAAAAATCAATCAATCTTTCCTCAGATCCATATATTCGCGGCGGATACCATCAGCATTTATGACAACGATTTCAAGTTTGTCTCCCTGAAAAAAAAAAAAAAGTTAGAGATGTAATTGACACTAAAAGGTAAACCATTCCAAGGCTCCGAGCCCAAGTTCTAGGGAGGAGAAATTTATTGCAAGTGGGTAACTTGAAGGTACACATGAGTTTTATATTTCATGCTCCTGATTCAGAGAAGTGAGATCCAGAGAAAGCCCAGCCGGAAACAACCAACAAGGGAGCTCATCTATTATTTGAGGCACTTAGGATCAGCACCTTGTGCAGATAAGAATGGAACGCTTTCAAATTCTCTATAAATTAAACATTCCTCAAGCTCAAAGCATATATGACCAAAATAAGCTAAAATTTAATGCACCTTTATTAGAAATCAACAAACAGAAGTTTCAAGAGGGATCTAACTGGAATCTTCTAAGTATAAGCATAAGGGAACAGCATAAATTAAAAGCAGACTTGGATTGAGACATAGCAGTAATCAATGTTGTGCTCCAGAATTCAAAAACAGCCTTCCTAAGTTACCCAGTTATAGAAACAAAAAGAAATATAACTCACGGTGTATATATCTCTCTCAGATGCTGATGCAAAAACAGTTTTAACCAAATCAATAGCTTCAGCTTCCATAAGTGGAGTAACAGCATCCTGCAAATCATGGATTTGAGATGAAAAATATGAAAAGTTTAAATGAATCTAAACATAGAATATTCAAAATTAGGAGCACACCTGGGCAGGCAATAGGAGAGGGCTGGGGGATTTCAGTTGATTATCCAAGAAAGGCATGATGAGTGTTGAACCAGAACCTTGGGAGCTGTATCCAACCTTCTCATAGGAACCAACAGCATCATACGTGAAAACACAACCTTTTCCTAATGGTTTAACATAAGAATATTAATTCCTATTCATAATACAAAGAAAGGCTTAAACTTGCAACTAAGGCTCAAAAAAGATTACCTTCGTTATCAAGGCCACCTAAAACATTAAAAGAATAATAAGGAAAGAAGCGCTTGTAATAAAGGGTGTTGGACAGCAGCTGAGCCATTGCAGGGCAGCTCATTTGCTTGTTGTGCTGATGCTGATAAATCTGTATTTTGAGAAGCACCATTGGAATTATATATTTATTATATTAGCTGCAGTAGAATGCTTATAAAGCCTTACTGATTATAGTTTGGTTCTTAAATTTCTAAGCTACATAAAATTAAATGCCTTTGTCTTTTGATATTATTGTAGGACAGTAAGTCAAGTGAAGCCAACATTCATATGCAAAACAAAAGTTCCATCATATCTTTGAAAGTTGAAATCTTACCAAGTGCCTAGCTGCCAGTTGCTTTTGTAAAGCCTTTACATCAGCTTGAAACCCTGAGGATGCCATAACACATTTATCTGCTCTGCAATGTTAAAGTAAGAGACACAATGAGAACCCAGAAGAAGAAAGGGAAAAGCTGAAAAACAAAAAATCAAGTCAATCATTAGAGAGTATATACATTATTCCCACTCGTTTACACCTCCATTAACACTTATTTTAAAACAATAAGATGCACCAACTAAAATCACATTATCTAGGTATTAACTGTCTATCTTCCAAACGCATACCACAGATCTTGATCTAATTGGGGAGAGTGAATAAACTATCATATCTTTTTCTTTACCTTTTCAAGTATTTAGTTATGAAAACATGTAGGTTGCTCTCCTCTAGAGTTCCATAACAATAACACTATCACTCAAACAACTACCAAACATACGATGACAGCTTGTTGGAAAACCTTCCCAGTTCTATACCATTATCTAAATGGAAATGGAATCAAGTATCAAATCCTTTCAAACATTGAAGGCAAAACTACCTTAACATTCCATGACCGGTAGACAGATTTCACAAAATCGAACTAGTTTACTACTTCAACCATTGGAGGCAAATCCTTTTAGCAAATTTCACAAAATTTCTTAATTTCTCCATAAAGCGTCGAATTACTTTTATTCAATGTATCTTACTAGTTTTAAAGACCAAAATCTGCCATTCCCGTCAATTAGAACTTAAAAAGATCTTATGTGAAAAAAAAAAAAAAAAAAAGCCATTAGCGCTTTTCTCTTTTACTAAAAACAATTGAAAGATTATCATTTTCAGAAGAAATTATTAGGCACCTTCCACTCCAAAGTTCTATTTTCCATACCAAAAACAAAGGATTGGAGAAAAGAACATACAGTTTACAGATTTTGGAGTAATCGCGGGTGAGGATATTGTAACCGGTAGACATTCTAGTATCAGCTGCGATAACACAGTAATCGGCTCCAGCGATCGCTACGCAAGATCTATAATTTAGGGCAATCATAAATAATAACATCAATAAAAAACGAAATTGAACGGTAAAAAAGAACAAAAGAATGCTTTTTAGGTTGATAAAAAGAAATACCCTCCATTGTTATCGTAAGGAGACCAGTTAGCCTGCTGCTTGGTCATGGTGAAAGGAGCAGAGAAACACTTAGTCGACAAAGGAGAAAAATAAAGGAAGGCTGCAATTTCGTTTTGGGGAACGTTTATTGCATCGGATTTCATTTAGCTTTGCCAGCAAGAAAACACGATCGAGCCTTTTCTATATCGGGTTCGGTTAGGTTTTAGACCCATTGGGACCCAAACCCAAGCCCAGTGAAACTAAATAAAGTATTAGTTATATTAGAAAATCTTTCATTGAAGGATTGAAATGTTACATGTTTTAGTTATGATAGACCGACGAATTGCGTTCTGAAAATCTTTTTACTTTTTAAAATTTCTTATAAAAACTTTTTATTTTTTATTATATCCTATTAAAATTTTAAAATATTATTTTTATTTAATTAAATCCTTAAAGTTATATTTTCTTTCAAGTAAACCTTTTTTTGTTTTTGTAATGAATTTTAGTAGTTTTATGTAAAATAAAATTTTAATTAAAAAATAATACTTTAATGATTTAACTGAGTAAGGAATTATTTGAATTTTGAAAAAACATAAGGTTTTTTAATATTTTAATCTATTGAAAAATACCAATTGGAATTAGAAAAATGGCGGAACAGTATTTCTCCTTAGTTCTCTCTACTCAATTCTCAACCAATGCCTAAAGCCCCGTTTGGCGGCATAGAAATTGCCTTTGAATTAAAATTAAAATTAAAATTAAAAAAAAAAAAAAAAAAAAAAACAGAGGTCCAGATTTGAAAAAGAAAGCGGAAGAAGGGCATGGGGAATCTGTTCGGATGGCTCGTGACCTTCTTCCTCCTCATAACTCTTCTCGCCATTATAAGTTATCAGGTTAATTTTTTTCAATATTTAATCTAATTTATATCGTTTTAATCACAACTTTAATTAAACCTTAATCCTCCTTCGTAAATTTAGCTGTTAATAATTGTTGAATATTGGCATTTTTGCATGCAGTTGATGTGTTTTGCTGATTTGGAATTTGATTACATTAATCCTTATGATTCGGCAGCTCGAATAAACATGGTTGTCATGCCGGAGTTTGTAATACAAGCCGTTTTCTGTTTGGTCAGTTTGATGACAGGACATTCTTTTATGTGTTTCCTGTCTCTCCCATATTTATACTATAATTTCAGATCGTAAGTTTTTATATTTTTTTCTTAATCCTTCAAAATTACCCTCTTTTTTTTTTTTTTTTTTTCAGTTTATCAAATCAGATATGATTTTTGTTATTGAATGAACAGGTATAAAAGGAGAAGGCACCTGATCGATGTAGCTGAGATCTACAATCAACTGAATTGGGAAAAGAAGCAGCGACTTATGAAACTTGGCTATCTGATAATCCTTCTAGTTATTTTTATATTTTGGTAATAAATTAATCAGACAAATGAGAATTTTTTTTTTGTTGTAGTCCTGTTTAAATTACATGTTGGCCTTTTTTCAAGCGACTTCCATCTTAAAATCTGTTTCAGGTTGCTTTGGACGGTAGGAAATGATGATTATTAAACAGATTTTGGTGAATGCCCACTGTAAGTTTTTATATTTACTTTCTGCAATTTTCATTTTAAATTGAGGTATTGAGCAATAAATATGTACGACGAATTGGGTCATAACTCATAATATACAATGAGAACTTTTGCTGCGAACTTATGAGAAATGAATGGCAACAAACCATCTTCATTGCTTTTGCTTACATTACAATTTGTTCTGGGCATGTTCAGGTTTTTTTCATCAGCTGATTCAGACAAAAACATTCGGGTGGAACAAGCTCAGACCTCTGTATTTTTGGCCACGATTTAACATCCCCTTTATTGTTATGTATTGGTAATTTTAATAACGGTGGCTGCAGCCTTGATGCTCCAGTTTTCGTTTTTCCAACACTCTTCTCTGTTTGAGAATATACTTTTGCGCATTCAGCGATGAGGAGTTTAATGATTTATCATATTCCTAAAGAAGATGGTTGAAGACCAGTCAAATTACAATATAGCAGCTAGAGGTGAACTTGCAATTTTCCAACTGTTCTGATCATCTTTTTTGGAGATCTGTATAGGTCAAAAGATTCTCACAGTTGGCAACTTGGCGTGCCGCTTTTACTATCAACAAATTGATTGAAAATAATCTGTCACACCCTAACTTTGACAGAAACAATGAGAAGAATCAAGCCAAAATCAACTAAATTTACAACCAATGTTGAATCTTGGTGAGACCCCACTTTACCGACCATATGCATTTGGATTAATTGCTCTTGTTTGAATGCTGAATTTTGTGGATAAAAATCGGAGATTTTAACTTTGTCCGCTCTGGAAGCCATAAAAGATGATTGAGACATTAGGGTAAAGACAAGGGAGAAAATGTGGAAGTTATGTACTTCATTTACGTGCCGTCTAAAGTAAATATTCTTGAGATCTGTTTTAGGGAAAGAAAAAAAATGAAATAGTGTTTTGCATAGTCAAAAAGAAAAAAATTGTAAAGTTACTGATTGTACAATTGATTAATCTGATTAGGTATGTACTTTTCTGCACTAAACTGCAGAATATGTATATCAAACAAGCTGCAGATAAAAACCAAAAAAAAAAAAAAAAAACGAAGCTGCCTAAAACCTTACAAAAATGGCTCAGACCAGAGCAAGATGACCGACCATTTATAAAGAAGTTTACACTGAAGAAAATGAAGATCGTCAGGCGGCAAAAATGACAGATCAGAGATATGTTTGCCATTTGGAATTTAGGTTGTAAGCATGTATAACTGTCAGGCTGGATTACCTGACCTAACCCACCTGACTCACCGGTAATAAAGAATTAAGAAATATATGGCAAATTTATGTGGTGTTTCTTTCTCAACAAATTCAACTGACAATGACTTCTCACTTTATTTTATTAATTGTAAATATTATTTGATCCTATCAAATTTCTTCCTATAGTATAGTGCCCTTTACTTATTTAGTACCTAATAAACAGCCTGATAAACTGATGCTTTTGGAGTTCAATCACTGCCAATATTCACACTATAAAATTACATCTTCATCCTATAAATTATTCACCATACACAATACATACAATTGATAAACAATCTTGATTTACAAAAATAAACCAGCTTAATTAGCTTAGTAACAATCAGCTCAGTCGCATCTTCTCGAGCAGTAATATATATACAGTCCATGGCTTCAATTCATATATATATCCATACAAATCTCCCTGAGCCCCAAGAGAAATAAGTAAGCCAAGGCTCCTGATCTTTCAATACCATGTTATCTACGGAATTAACCAAACCTGATACTGTACATATTCTTTTATGCGCATAATATGTACATGGGGAAGATATAGCTGGATAATTGAGAGTTGAGACTTATTAACTTGCTGTTATGCAAAGAAGCCTCTCAGTAAGTAACTCCTCTCTCCATGTTCGGGTGACCATGGCTATAAATTCCTCTGCTCTTCTTTCCAAATCATTATCTTTCTCGTCTTCTTCACTACCCTGATCATCTTCTATATCAAGATCATCATCATTTTCTTCATGACCATCGTAACCATGATTGTCTTCGGGATCATCATTTGCATCAATGACATAATAAGCTGGAGGATAAGAGGTGATCAACTGATGACCAGCTGCATCTTGATGATCGGATGGCTTAAGGCTTCCAACAAGGACAATGATAATGATAACGTTGAACACGAAAAACACAGCTATGCGACTAGATTTTGCCAAGGTGATGAAGTAGCAGGTGGAGAAAAGAATTTCATGATACTTAGTAACTGAAAATAACAAAGTGAAGAAGATTAACAAGATCGGCAAAGAGATACTTAAAACCCTAAAGACAGGAAACCTATCTCCTTCCATGCCAATCTAAACTAATGAGTTCTATGGTACGTACTTTCCCTCTATATGTTTTCCAAGTGGAAGGAGATCTTTTTGATGGGTCTTAGTGTCCCATTGGCATTTAGAGACTCCATTACGAAACAATGGGAGTACTACTGTAAATATTTTGAGAAAGTTAGTCTACTTCCTGGATTACTTAATTGCAAGCTTGTAGGCTATAATCAATTATACAATTTACAAGTGTCATTCTCTAATAAATAGTCTACATTTTTAAAACCAGAAAGAGCACTTATCTAGGTTGCCCGGAAGTTTCTCAGCATTCACTTTTTGATAGGAACATTAAACCAAACGGAAAAAAGGTGTAAACAATATCGTCAGGGAAGTGACTTGGATCTTGGAATTATATGTGGAAAACCAAGATATGAGACAAATAAGAGTACAAAGCATTCAAAGGAAAATAAAGAATTTGGTTACTTGAGAATTATAATACTCAGTGTGAACAAGCTTGCAGCATAGTCAAATATTGATCTTAATTTGTTTATTTATATCTCACCAGATTTAGATTTATCCGAAATCCAGGAAGTCCTTCGCTACGTCATCAGTCGATGGACATGACACAGCAATCTGCTGTTTGATTCTAATTAATAACGTATAATACCCAACACAAACATAATTTAAGGGAGTTTGTGGATGAAAAAAGTACATAAAATTCATTTTTTTTCAATGTTTAAACTTTCAAGCTTGTGAAATAAGGCTTGCTTTGTTCCTTTGATGAAGTTCATTTGCAATTTTTGTCGATTATTAATTTTAGTTATAAGTCAATTTAAGTAATGAAATTAGGAAATCAAATTTTAGAAACTTTTGGGGTAGAAAGACTCATGTACTCTAAGATTGATGCCACGGCGGCGCCGCTATGGACAGGAAAGAATGTCTTTATTATTTTTTTTTTTTTGGCAGGGATAAGATAGGAAATAATCTCGCTTTCCGTTTGATATTGGCTCTTACATTTTAACTATATCCTCGTATCAGACAGCTAGAGACAAGTTTGAGGGACGTGGTCGTCCAACTAGAAAAAGAAGCTCCCTCCTACGGATCGATATATGTCGTTTCTCGTTAGCACAATCGACCCGCAAGCTTCATGAATCACGGTTAGTTTCTCTATAATATATGTACATAATGCAAGGAATAAATGGCAGGGGCTAGGCTAGGCTAGGTCTAGACTGTATAAAATTTCGGTGGTTGCTCCGTTATGACCAAATATAAACAAAACAATTTTTTGAAAAATAATATAATTTAAAATTTTAATAAAAATAAAAAATATTTATTTATATAAATTATGACATATATTTTACATGTAAAATATAAAACAAATAACATATCCAAATAGTTTGAAGACCATTTCATCCTGCGTGCCATTATCGATATTCCATAAAGGAAGGATGTTAAATCTTTTACGTAATACTAGCTTTGATCTGATTTTAACCAAAGTTATTTATTTAAGTCCGATTAATAAAGCTGACGAAAAATTCACTACTCCGTAATTGGGGAATTTTAAAATCTCTTGACAGTTGCCATCAATTAATTCATAAATCAGAAAAAGGATGTCTTTGCCTGTGACATTAAAACCTAGCAGGATATCAGGGATGCCAATCCTACATTATCCTACATTAATATTCAAGAACGCATGAACTCCACTGTTGGAAAAAAATAAACATCAGGGTTTGATTTAGATAGCCTCCGGGATGAATAATTGTTATTTAATAAATTAAACTGCAGGCAAAGAAATGTTGATGCCAGTTGCTGAATTTCTTGGTTCCTGCATGGTGGCCCAATTTTCTCTTCGGAATGTAGCGGTGGACAGGTTTGGTTTCGGGGCATTCGAATTTTGTTGCGTAAGTACACCTATGATATCCTCTTTTTCTGCATTTGAAGCAGGTGCAGCGAATACAGTTAGGTTCGGTGCGACAGTGGCTGGTATGGACTCATTTTTCTGCTTCTTGGGTTTTTGGTCATGCTGGTTGCCCGGCAAAAAACTACCCACGACAACCTGATAATTGAGCAAAAGATTAACCATTGTCTTCAAGACCACATATTGTCAGTAAATGTTAGAATGGCCCACCAATTCCAGTTTTCTACGATTTTGGCAAAAGTCTCGTGCATGTTTTTTGACTGATGCAAATTCTTGTTCTTGTAGAAAAGGATTACTGTGTCTGATCAGATGCTCAGCAAGAGAGCCCTCCACATTAAACATACTACTGCTTCTAAAAGGTAAGGGAAAATTTAAAACTAAAAGGCTTACCTGTATAGGACTAGCAGCTACCAGAAGCCCAGCAACTCCTCCCCCTACAACACGGCCATCAGAGCTTGCCAAAGAGACACTCATCCCACCAGATCGACTTCTCGTTCCTTGAGTCTCTTTAGGCATGAAGGATCCAGACAAGGAAAGTATCTCAAAGCGACCCTACAAGAAAGTAGGATAGGTGAGGTTGTTTTAAGGATTAGAAAATTAAACAGCATAACAAGTTCATGTCCGAACAAGTAAAACCTCTTTTTCTATCCTTCTTCCTCTCATATAGATAAGCCATTGGTTACTAAGACTAATCCTACAAACTGTAGTTGATGCACGGTAACACGTCCCTCATCATACTTGCAAGTTATGCCCCTTCCTGTCCGTCAAACAGTATGTCTTATCTATTTGATTTAAGGAGTATTCAGCAACAGTTTTATCTTTCTGACATTTGTATCTTCATAGCACACAACTATTTCACACACCTAAATAGCACTAGTCTTGGAGAATAATGTGAACCATCTGCTTATGATCAGTTCCTCAGTAAAACATACCAAGTTGTATGCGCTGATAGTTTGAAACTAGTCCCGATAAAATGCTTTCTCGGTGGAACTTTAACTTACACCGATGCATTTGTAAGTAAATTCTCGACAGCATACATCTTCCTCAATGTACCAGCTCATTATGAACATTTATAGACATAATAACCTTTGGAACTAATAAGAGTATAGTTTAAAGATTTCTTCTTAAATCCTATATTCTTCGATAGCCTGACAAATTTATACACATTAAACAGTCCGGCTAACATTAATATTTACAGATGCTTTCCATTTAACAGATAGTCTCATTTCAAACCTTGTTTTCAAAGCACATCATGCAAC